GTAAACTAAACTTCACGGTAAGAAAAATTTCTTTTTTAAAATGTATTGCTGATTCATTTTTTGAAAGTTTTAAAGAGTTGTTTCTACCAATAATTGTATTCAGTCTCATTACAAATCACTTTTTAAAAAAAAATTAAAAATCCTGTCATGTATATGTAGTAGAAATTCAGAAAGAGGTTCCCAGACTGGAGGTTATCCACACAGAAACCCAAAAGAAAAGGAGGAAGTCTCCAAGTAGAAAGATAGGCCTTTTTTGAAATACAAATGTGTCTGCAAAGAACCACATCCCTCATTCCTTTTTTTTTTTAAAATTAAAATATTTTATTAGCATATAGAACACATACATTTACACAGTACATACAGTGGTACCTCTGGTTGCATACGCTTCAGGTTACATACACTTCAAGTTACAGACTAAGCTAACCCAGAAATAGTACCTCGGGTTAAGAACTTTGCTTCAGGATGAGAACAGAAATCGTGCTCCGGCGGCGCGGCGGCAGCAGGAGGCCCCATTAGCTAAAGTGGTGCTTCAGGTTAAGAACAGGTTCAGGTTCAGAACGGACCTCCGGAACGAATTAAGTACTTAATCCGAGGTACCACTCTATACACAATACCTTATTTCCTAACATAAAGCATACCTAACATTACTCTATATTATACCTACCTATACTATACATTCCAACACACCTACCCCACATGAACAGTCACAAAGTGACTTGAGCCAGTGTGGTGTAGTGGTTAAGAGTGGTAGACTTGTAATCTGGTGAACCGGGTTCGTGTCTCCACTCCTCCACATGCAGCTGCTGGGTGATCTTGGGCCAGTCACACTTCTTTGAAATCTCTCAGCCCCACTCACCTCACTGAGTGTTTGTTGTGGGGGAGGAAGGGAAAGGAGAATGTTAGCCATTTTGAGACTCCTTCGGGTAGTGATAAAGCGGGATATCAAATCCAAACTCCTCTTCTTCTTCTTGCCGTTCTTGTTACGCTACTTTATTTATCCAATTGACTTAAACGCATTTCATTATTTCTTTAATCTCTTCTATCTTAACTTTACTCTCCTTTCACTCTAATTATGTTCTGAATTCTCTGTCTTCACTTGCTCCTCCTTTACCTTGCATTCTGGGAGCAAATCATATAGTTTGGAAACATGTTTACTTTTAGATTAGATTAAGTACTCATCCAATCTTGAAATTTCTTTCTAAAACCCCTTTTGTTTATCTTTTGCCAATCTCTTAATAATTTAAAGAACTGCAGCCAATTGTTCAAATATCTCTTAACTTCCTTATATTTTTTCAATTTAAGTTTATTATTTTCCTTTCCCAGTAATCCTTATATGTTGCCCAGTTGTTACTCATATTCTTTCTCTTTACGGTCATGATTTCTAAGGTGAGGCCCACCAAGGTGTTTTTGTGAGAATCAGAACTTACAGGGTTAAACAGCTCTAGGTATCGTCCTGCCTACTGAGAGGTGTGGCTTTTTCACATTCAAGAATATTTCTTCGTGTGTGAGTTACTTTTGTTTTTCGCTGACAAACGGGAGAGGCCTGCTCTTTCTCCTGGATGATTTATTTTGCTATGCTGCATGTGACACTGTGGGTTAAACCACAGAGCCTAGGACCTGTTGATCAGAAGCTCGGTGGTTCAAATCCCCACGATGGGGTGAGCTCCCATTGCTCGGTCCCTGCTCCTGCCCACCTAGCAGTTTGAAAGCACGTCAAAGTGCAAGTAGATAAATAGGTACTGCTCCGGCGGGAAGGTAAACGGCACTCCAGTGCGCTGCTCTGGTTTGCCAGAAGCGGCTTAGTCATGCTGGCCACATGACCCGGAAGCTGTACGCCAGCTCTCTCGGCCAATAAAGCAAGATGATCACCGCAACCCCAGAGTCGGCTGCGACTGGACCTAATTGTCAGGGGTCCCTTTAACCTTACCTAAAGCTTCTTTAGATTAGGAAGAAGCCGGTGTATGGACCTGTTATTTATTGCACCTACACAAGGCACACACCGCAGCTGCGATACTCTGCTTGAAACTGGGAAACGTCCAGAGGCACAGGGAAGTGTGAAGGACGGCCAGAAATCATAGCAGGTTGTGCAAGTCGTCTGCTTAAATCCAACAGTTTTGGGTTCTAGGATCCCTTTATATTTCATCCATATTTTATACAATGACTTCCTTATAATATGGTCCATAAAACCATTGTGGACTCTCTCCTTTTCATCTGTTAGGTATGCATGCCATCCAAATTGAGTGCCTATGTCCTCCAGATCTAACACATCAGTGTCCTTTAACTTAATCCACTCCCTTAAGCAGGTCAGAGCTGCTGCACCATGATATAATTCCAGGTCAGGTAGGTCAAATCCGCCTCTCTTTCTCCAATCAAAAAGTAATTTATATTTTATTCTAGGGTTTTTTTATGGAATGGCAAATTGCACATCATTTCTATTCATCAATCAAAGGACCGCAGCAATCTTAATAGTTGCAACCCAATGTCATCATCCTGAGCTAACCAAAATCATTTGGCTCTTCAGATAAGCCCTCATCATAATATCATGTCATGACATATAACTATTTTATTGTGTCGTTCTTTATTAAGACTTTGGCTAATATTCCTATTCACTAAATGTCTTCCAATGTCCTCTTTCATCCATCTACAAAACAGTTCAAGATGAATCACAATTGCCATGCCTAGCTGGTTCTCTTTTCATGCACACAACTCCCACTTTATTCTTTTCAGGGTTCTGGAACAGACATTTGCTACATACAGTACCTTCTGTTCTGTCAAAGGTAGGCAGGCATAGGCCTTGTCAGTTAGGCTAAGCCATAGGCTTAAAAGAAATCGGAATCATCCAAATGCCGTTTTATGGAATTGTTATTTTCTACAACGTATACATGTTATGAAAGGGCTGTCAGCTGCAGGATGGAGCAAGGTGTTCAGGATGGAGCAATGGCTTCAAGTTACAAGAAAGGAGATTCCAGCTAAACCTCAGGAAATACTTTAGGACAGGAAGAGTTTTTCCAGAGTGAAACAGACTCCCTTTGTAGTTTTCAAAGCAGAGGTTGGATGGCCATCTGTTTTGGACGAGATTCCTGACTTGCAGGGGGCAGGACCAGATGACACCCAGGCTCTCTTCCTGTGGGATGTGAAACTTATAGAAGTCAAGTACAACATTCCTACAGTGAACATGTTTTGGGATGTTTTGTAGCACTCAGGAGAAAACTTCCTGTTTCCTCTTGAGCTGGGGCAGACTTCCACTGCATGTGACTTGAAGTAGGTGTGGCCTATTCTGAGTAGAGGAGCACATGTCCTCCATGTTCTGCTCTTTTTCTCCATTTTGTCTTTCTATATGTTAGAAGTGACAGGTCAGTTGCAGTCACTTGGGACTAACTCCCTTATGGGATAGTTCATATAGACACTTTTGTAACCTAAGTCTGCCTTCAGGGATGCATCTGTGAACTGAATGAGTGAGTAAACTACTTTTATACTGACTTTAGCAAGATTGTGTCATGTCTTTTTATGAGGGAATAGAAGGGATCTTACCAGGAATCCTATATTTCAAGAGGCTTAAGCAAGCCTGCAACAAGGTAACGACCATGCAAATTTAAAAAGGGGAATGTTTGGAACTTTGCTAAGTTATAGAACTTGCTAACACAAGTTAGGAAGGATATTAGTAAACAATATATCCTCCCCTGCCTCCCTAAACATCCCCACACTTCCGACTCTCCCATTCTACGATTCTGTGATGGAAACCTAAGCCAAAGTGTTGCCACAGAAACTAGGGAGCTAAAGATGCTTTTCTGGCAGTGGGACAAAATGTCATGGCTAAAATCTTGAGGGCATAAACCGGAAAATACTGGAAAACACTGGTTCCTTCCAGAAGGTTTTGTTTTTTCTGCTGAGGCAGCTGGATTTATTATGATTTGCGCTTTGTTATCTCAAGGTCACACTGAGCCAGAAAAATAACTTTGTGAGCTCAGTGAGCTGGCTTCTCTTTCTTACTTTCATTTTCTAACTTTCACATCTGTGAAGTCTCCTGAAGCTTTTATCTGTAACGAAGCTGGAAAACCTTTAGTAGAAAGTTCTTCTTTTGCCAACGAACTTTGCCTCTGCCTGATTTATGGAGAACCAGATGCATCCACTCCAAACAAGCTTCTGCAGCTCTGCTCCCCATCCAGACATGGAGCACCTTGGCATTGAAGACCAAGAAGGGTCCCAGAAAAAGGGACTGAGGTGAATGTGTGGGTCATAAGCTGGGAGTCGTTGGAAAGGAGTCGCTGGGAGTGGCAGAAGGTTCTGTTGAGCAGGTGAGGGAAGAACAGGAGGAGAGAGAAAGAGCTCCATAGAAAGACAACGCTGGGTTGGGATGAGCTGGTGTGGGAATTATTGGCAGAGAAAAATGTACATCCAGCAAAAGGGGATACAGTGCAACTCCTGAAACTGTTCATAACACAAGCTATGATCTCGTATGAGGAAAGGGATTTAATATGCCTTCTTCCCCATCCCCAGTGGATTAGGAAAGAAGATTAGTAAAAGAAGAGGAAGAAGGATTGGATGAACATTGAAAGAGACAATAATTTTGGACTGTGACTTGACTGAGACTTGTTGGAACAGTTTTAATAAGGCTTTATAGAAACTGGACCTAGAAACTGGAGAAATACTAATTTGGATTATTAGACTATCATTATAAGAGTCATGTTGCACTGTCTGAGTGCTTAAGATTTGAAGGCTGGGCTGTGGGGGCACAATGTAGGAAAAGTGCCATCTTGCTGAAGGATACTGGATACTAAATACTGGATACTAAACACAGCTGGGTTTATCCTGGAGTGCATATTCTGAATAACTACTGCTACAGAGGAATGATCACTCAGGGTGGGAGACGGGGAGAAGGGGGGCACCCAGGGGAGAGCTGGGGGAGCCTGCCTTTCTATGTGTTGACAAATGATATGATATATATGATACAAATGTGATAAAGGGTATTTTTAGTTATTCTCCTCCGCCCTTTCTCTTTTCTATACAAATGTGTTTTGTAAGGGTTGTTCAATAATGTTTGCGTTATTATTTTTCCTTTTTGGTTTTCCCTCTGTATGAATTCTTTGATGGGAAGTGAGCTTGGTCCCCTCCCGGAAGCTCTTTCCACATACCAAGCACTGATAGGGTTTCTCCCCTTTATGAATTCTGTTATGGGAAGTGAGATGGGAACTTTGACGGAAGCTCTTTCCACATTCCAAGCACTGATAGGGTTTCCTTCCTGTATGAATTCTTTGGTGCGAAGTGAGACTGTGCCTGAGACTGAAGCTCTTCCCACATTTTAAGCATTCATATGGTTTCTCCCTGTATGAATTCTTTGATGGGAAGTGAGATGGATCCCCTGGCTGAAGCACTTTCCACATTCAAAGCATTGATAGGGTTTCTCCCTATATGAACTTTTTGATGCAAAGTAAGAATCTGCCTGTAACTGAAGCTCTTCCCACATTCCAGGCATGGATATGGTTTCTCCCCTGTATGAATTCTGCAATGGGAAGTAAGCTGTATCCTCTTACTGAAGCTTTTTCCACATTCCAAGCACTGATATGGTTTCTCCCCTGTATGGACTCTTTGATGGGAAGTGAGATCACCTCTCTGACGAAAGCTCTTTCCACATTCAAAGCACTGATAGGGTTTCTCCCCTGTATGGACTCTTTGATGTAAAGTGAGAGCACTTCTCTGACGAAAGCTCTTTCCACATTCCAGGCACTGATAGGGTTTCTCCCCTGTATGAATTCTTTGATGGGAAGTGAGATGTGCATTTTGACTAAAGCACTTTCCACATTCCAAGCACCTATACGGTTTCCCCTGTATGACTTCTTTGATGGCAAGTAAGACTCTTTCTGTGACTGAAGCTCTTCCCACATTTCAAGCACTTATAGGGTTTCTCCCGTGTATGAATTCTATGATGCATAGTTAGAGCAGAACTATGACTGAAGCTCTTTCTGCATTCCAAGCACTGATAGGGTTTCTCCCCTGTATGAATTCTTTGATGGGTCGTGAGATGGGTGCTTTGACTGAAGTTTTTCCCACATTCAAAGCACTGATATGGTTTCTGACCTGTATGAGTTCTCTGATGGGTGATGAGATAGGAATGGTGACCAAAGCTCTTACCACACTCATGGCATTGAAAAAGTTTCTCCCCTGTGTGGATTCTTTGATGGCAAGTGAGATTGGAACTGTGACGAAACCTCTTTCCACACTTACGGCATTGAAAAGGTTTATCCCCTGTATGAATTCTTTGATGGGAAGTGAGCTTGGCCCCCTCCCGGAAGCTCTTTCCACATTCCAAACACTTATATGGTTTCTCCCCTGTATGAATTCTATGATGCATAGTTAGAGCGGAACTTTGACTGAAGCTCTTTCCACATTCCAAGCACTGATAGGGTTTCCTTCCTGTGTGAATTCTTTGGTGCAAAGTGAGACTGTGCCTGAGACTGAAGCTCTTCCCACATTTTAAGCATTGATAGGGTTTCTCCCCTGTATGAATTCTTTGATGGGAAGTGAGACCACCTCTCTGACGAAAGCTCTTTCCACATTCAAAGCACTGATAGGGTTTCTCCCCTGTATGAATTCTTTTGTGGGAAGTGAGATTGTGGCTGTGACTGAAGCTCTTTCCACATTCCAGGCATGGATATGGTTTCTCCCCTGTATGACTTCTGTGATGGGAAGTGAGCTGCTCCCTCTGACAAAAGCTCTTTCCACATTCCAAGCACTGATAGGGCTTCTCCCCTGTATGGACTCTTTGATGTAAAGTGAGACCACCTCTCTGACGAAAGCTCTTTCCACATTCCAAACACTGATAGGGCTTCTCCCCTGTATGGACTCTTTGATGTAAAGTGAGAGCACCTCTCTGACGAAAGCTCTTTCCACATTCCAAACAATGATAGGGTTTCTCCCCTGTATGAATTATTTGATGGGAAGTGAGATGTGCATTTTGACTAAAGCTCTTTCCACATTCCAAGCACTGATAGGGTTTCTCCCCTGTATGAATTCTTTGATGGCAAGTGAGACTCTCTCTGTGACTGAAGCTCTTCCCACATTTCAAGCACTGATAGGGTTTCTCCCGTGTATGAACTCTATGATGCATAGTTAGAGCGGAACTTTGACTGAAGCTCTTTCCGCATTCTAAGCACTGATAGGGTTTCTCCCCTGTATGAATTCCTTGATGGGAAGTGAGACTGGAACTGTGTCGAAAGTTCTTTCCACACACAAGGCATTGAAAAGGTTTCTCTCCTGTATGAATACGTTGATGGATACTGAGACCATCCTTCCGATTAAAGCTCTTTCCACATTCTAAGCATTGATAGAGCTTCTCCCCTTTATGAATTCCTTGATGGGAAGTAAAACTGGCACTGTGACGAAAGCTCTTTCCACACACAAGGCATTGAAAGGGTTTCTCCCCTGTATGAATTCTTTGATGGGAAGTGAGACCATCCTTCCGACTGAAGCTCTTTCCACACTTCAAGCACTCATAGGGTTTCTCCCCTGTATGAATTCTTTGATGGGAAGTGAGATGTCCCTTCCGACGGAAGGTATTTCCACATTCCAAGCATTGATAGGGTTTCTCCCCTGTATGAATTCTTTGATGGCAAGTGAGCGCCTGACGGTGATTGAAGCTCTTCCCACATTCTCTGCACTGATACAATTTCTTTCCGCTGTTAGTTCTTTCATGTGAAGAGATTCTATCCCTCCGAACAAAGCTCTTTCCTTTATGTGAGGTGGACTGGGGGCTCTGGCAGATGTTCTCTCCACACTTTGTATATTTATTTGACTTCTCCGCTATGTGGATTCTGTTGTGGTTCCCCTTGTTCTTTCCTTCCAATTCATCACCATCTGCAATGAAGAGAGAAGCTAATTAGAGCCTCAGTAAGAACAAAGTTAATGAATGTTTGTGATGGAGGAGGAACTGAAGCGAGCTGGATGTGAGGCCTTACTATAGTTTTCACTATTGGCTGGTACTAACTGGCATATTGCTTGGTTTTTATCTGGGATAGATTTTGGTTGGCTCAATCCTGGAATCCACTCCATCTCCAATTTCCCTTTAAGCTCTGAGGCTGACATTTAAGAAGGCCTGGCCAGTTCAGACAACCTGGTCATTGCTTTAAAAGGCATGACTAGAAGGAAAAAAATTGCAGAGAAAACAGTGGATATCCCTCCATTCAGGATTCACAGTGGGGATGTTAGAATCCCAAATGCTCTTGGTCTCCATCCAAATAGTAGAGGTTCATCACATAGAGGTACAGTGGTGCCTCGCAAGACGAAATTAATTCGTTCCGCGAGTTTTTTCGTCTAGCGAATTTTTCGTCTTGCGAAGCACGAATTCCCATAGGAATGCATTGAAAATCAATTAATGCGTTCCTATGGTCAAAAAAAGTCCAATCAAAGCCAAATTCGGTACAACAAGAGTTTATTAACTGCTCTTTAAAGTCACACATACTTTAAAGATCATATAAAAAATTGAAGGAACAATAAATTAAGTTTCTAAACATGACAGGAAAAACATTTAAAAATCAAAAAAGGGTACATTACATTTTCTAAGACTCTGGGGGACCACTCGAAGAAGGTTCCTCTTCCACTCTTTGCTTCTTGCTGAGGAACCTGTCCATGGTCTGCTGCTTCATCCGCCGTTTCAGCAGCTCCCTGAGAGGCGACATGACCGTCGTATCAAAAATGTTCGCTTGGTCATGTGCCACGTGCTTGTCAGGGTGGTGCCGCTCTGCAAAAGCCTGCACCTCATTCCACTTCTGGCAAATGTCCCTCAGTTCTTTGGAGGACAGCCGTTCCTCAGTTGCTTCCTCCTCTTCCAGCGAGGCCTGCTCCTGCGCAACCTCTGACTGCAGTGCAACCAGCTCCTGGGTGGTCAGCTCGTCGTCGTGCTCCTCCACCAGCTCGCAAACGTCCTCCTCTGTGACCTCCAGGCCCAAGGTCCTCCCCAAGGCAACAATGTCCTGCACCACTGTCGACTCTGGTGCATCAGAGTCACTTGGTGCCACACAGTCCGGCCACAGGCTGCGCCAAGCGCAATTCAAATTCCTCTGGCTGATCCCCTTCCAGGCCGTGGTGATCATCTTCAAGCAGGTGACGATGTCGAAGTGGTCCTTCCAGAATTCCCGCAGGGTGATGGTGGTGCAATCAGTCACCTCGAAGCATCGCCTGAAAAGCTCCTTGGTGTAGAGTTTCTTGAAATTGGCGATGACCTGCTGATCCATCGGCTGGAGCAGTGGCGTGGTGTTAGGCGGCAGGAACATGATGTTGATGAAGCTGAACTCCTCCAACAAGTCCACCTCAAGGCCTTTAGGATGAGCAGGAGCATTGTCCATCAGAAGCAAAGCCTTCAGCGGCAGGTCGTTGTCCAGCAGGTACTGTTTGACAGCAGGGCCAAAGGCAAGATTGACCCAGTCCACAAACAGCACACGTGTGACCCAAGCCTTGCTGTTGGATCGCCACATGACACTCAGCCGCTCCTTGTCGACCTTGTGTTTCTTGAAGGCCCGTGGGTTCTCCGAGTGGTACACCAGCAGGGGCTTGATCTTCAGGTCGCCGCTTGCGTTGGCACAGAAGAGCAGGGTCAGACGGTCCTTCATGGGCTTGTGGCCAGGCAACTTGGCCTCCTCCTGAGTGATGAAAGTCCTTTTGGGCATCCTCTTCCAAAACAGCCCGGTCTCGTCGCAGTTGAAGACCTGCTGTGGAACGTAGCCCTCCGTCTTCACAACCTCCAGGAACTCCAAGGCAAAGTCTTCAGCCGCAGGAACATCAGAACTGGCAGCCTCTCCATGCCTGACCACGCTGTGGATTCCGGATCTTGCCTTGAACCGGTCAAACCAGCCTCTGCTTGCCTTGAAGACTTCTGGCTCGGCCGAGGTTCCTGGCTGTTCCCGGATGAGGTCTGCGTGCAAGGCCTTGGCCTTCTCACAAATCACGGCCTCAGTCACTGTGTCCCCTGCACGCTGCTTCTCTTCTATCCAGATGAGGAGCAACTTCTCGACCTCCTCCAGAACAGCTGGGCGGTTCTTCACGATCCTGGTGACTCCCTTGGCTGCATCAGTCGCAAGGATCTTCTCCCTCATCTTCAGGATGGTCCCGATGGTCGATGGGTTCCTGCCGTACTCCCTGGCGAGGTCCGTCACACGCATTCCACCGTCGTGCTTCCGGATGATCTCCTTCTTCATCTCCAGCGTCACCTTCTCCTTCTTCCTCTCGCCGGCCTCCGCAGCAGCAGCAGTCTTCTTGGGTCCCATGGCAGCACAGCTGTTACCTTTGTAAAACTCAGAAAAAGAAAAAAAAATCAGCAATTCAAACCCACAACCAAGTCCTTGAATTCCAAACACCCAACCCAAAATCCAAAAACCCCAAAAAAAGTTTAACTTACGAAATGGCTGCAAATCACCAAAGTCTTCAAAATCCTCAAATGGCTGCAAAAAAAAAATTTTGGGAAAGCTTTAAAAATCACCAAAGTCTTCAAAAACCTCAACTGTTCCCCCAGCCCCTCCCCAACTGTTGCAAACCCCTCCCCAACTGTTGCAAACCCCTCCTCAACTGTTCCCCCAGCCACCCAGCACACAGAAATTCAAAACCCAGAAAATTTTTCAAAAAAAACAACATGGCCCAATGGTTACAGAAAACCATAAAAATTCAAAAAAGCACACAAGCTCCCAGATTCCTGCAAACCCCTCCTCAACTGTTCCCCCAGCCACCCAGCACACAGAAATTCAAAACCCAGAAACTTTTTCAAAAAAAACAACATGGCCCAATGGTTACAGAAAACCATAAAAATTCAAAAAAAAGCACACAAGCTCCCAGATTCTTGCAAACCCCTCCCCAGCTGTTCCCCCAGCCACCCAGCACACAGAAATTCAAAACCCAGAAACTTTTTTCAAAAAAAAACAACATGGCCCAATGGTTACAGAAAACCATAAAAATTCAAAAAAAAGCACACAAGCTCCCAGATTCTTGCAAACCCCTCCCCAGCTGTTCCCCCATCCATCCAGCACACAGAAATTCAAAACCCAGAAACTTTTTTCAAAAAAAACAACATGGCCCAATGGTCACAAAAAAATCAAAAAAATTCAAAAAAAAACACACAAGCTCCCAGATTCTTGCAAACCCCTCCCCAGCTGTTCCCCCATCCACCCAGCACACAGAAATTTAAAACCCAGAAACTTTTTTCAAAAAAAACAACATGGCCCAATGGTCACACAAAAATCATAAAAATTCAAAAAAAAGCACACAAGCTCCCAGATTCTTGCAAACCCCTCCCCAGCTGTTCCCCCATCCACCCAGCACACAGAAATTTAAAACCCAGAAACTTTTTTCAAAAAAAAAACAACATGGCCCAATGGTCACAAAAAATCATAAAAATTCAAAAAAAAGCACACAAGCTCCCAGATTCTTGCAAACACCTCCCCAGCTGTTCCCCCAGCCACCCAGCACACAGAAATTTAAAACCCAGAAACTTTTTCAAAAAAAACAACCTGGCCCAATGGTCACAAACATTCCTAAAAATCCAAAAAAAAGCACACACGCTCCCAGATTCTTGCAAACACCTCCCCAGCTGTTCCCCCATCCACCCAGCACACAGAAATTTAAAACCCAGAAACTTTTTCAAAAAAAAACAACATGGCCCAATGGTCACATAAAATCATAAAAATTCAAAAAAAAGCACACAAGCTCCCAGATTCTTGCAAACACCTCCCCAGCTGTTCCCCCATCCACCCAGCACACAGAAATTTAAAACCCAGAAACTTTTTTCAAAAAAAAACAACATGGCCCAATGGTCACAAAAAATCATAAAAATTCAAAAAAAAGCACACAAGCTCCCAGATTCTTGCAAACACCTCCCCAGCTGTTACCCCATCCACCCAGCACACACAAATTCAAACATTCAAAGCCAGATTTTTTTTTTTTTTAAAAAATAAACATGGCCCAATGGTTACAGAAAACCATAAAAATTCAAAAAAAAGCACACACGCTCCCAGATTCCTGCAAACCTCTCCCCAACACCAAGTCCTTGAATTCTAAACACCCTAACCCAAAATCCCAAACACCCAAAAAAAGTTTTAAAAGTTCAACTTACCAAACAGCTGCAGAAGAAGTTTTGGAAAAGCTTCAAAAATCCAGCAAACTCTTTAAAAAGCTCAGAAAGGCCACCACACCGCGTGCAATGTGTTGCTCCTCGAGGTCAAGTCGCAACTGCACCTCTTCAAGCAATGCACCCTGGGTTTTAACGGTTTTACGAAAAGGAAACAAACTTGCAAGACGTTTTCGTCTTGCGAAGCAAGCCCATAGGGACATTCGTCTTGCGAAGCAACTCGAAAACGAAAAAACCTTTCATCTTGCGAGTTTTTCGTTTTGCGAGGCGTTCGTCTTGCGGGGCACCACTGTATGTATGGAATTTCAAAGGGGAGTTACTTGCTTAATTTCAAAACAGGTATTATGATCCAACAGGAAGTGTTACCAAGAGGGTCCTTGACTCCATAATTCTCCTCCTTGATTTCCTTATGCAAAGCCCTCTGGTCAAGATCCAGCAAATCGTCTTTGAAACAAAAAGCAACGTCTTCACCTGCACCCTCCCCACCAGCAGTTATCTCAATCTGGTTGGTCTAAATTTTAATTTATACCTAAATCACTTTCTTCACTTTGAACCTCCCTCCCATGTTCAAGAGCAGACTAACTCTGTATTGTTTCACTGGTGACAAAAGAGGGAAAGTGACTATAACTCACACTTAATCTAAACGCAACGGCCACAAGAGCTCCTGACTACGCAATGTTGAATGTTCTCTGTTCTCTCCCGTTTCCCTTTTTTTCTTTCAATTTAAACCAATTCATGAACCCAGAACTCATACACTGACCACTAATGGTGAACCATATGTTATAGATACTTCGCCTACATATTTGTATATTAGTCCTATGATCCTTGTTTTTAAAAGCAAATAAAAAGTTAGTCCTAAAAGAAAAGAAAAAGGCAACACACGGAGGCCCCATCTGTGGTCAATTTGCAAAGCAGGATCAGGTTACTTTCAAGAGTCATGGCTTCTAGTGCTGCCCAATGGATCAGTAAGTTGTCTGACATTGGTTGTCTGACATTCAATCACGGGACAGGGTTTAGACATTTTGAGCTGCCAATACATCGCAGTGGTCGGAGAGCTGTGATGTATTCCTAGCTCAAATTGCCTGCAGATGACAAAGGCGCAGGCAGGCAGGTGGAGAAGCCCGAAATGGTGCCCCCCTGAGCAAGCCCCAATACCTCTCTGGCTCTATCCATCCATATCCCCATCTCCACTCCCCTGGAACTCACCAGATCTGTCGGAGGTCCCTGGGAGGGAACATTCAGAGGTTGTGCGAAGCGATGCAGGAGACAACCTGACCAGGTCAACCGTCCATCTTCCCCCTTCCATCCTTGCTAGGTTTACAGATTCAGTCTCTTTCATCCTTCCTGAGGAGTCGAGAAGCCACCACAAGCTGCGGGGTCCTGGGAGAGAGGAAGAAGCAAAGGGAGCCTCAGAGGCCCTGCAGGGATTCTCTTGCCTTATTCTCCTGCCCTGGAGAAGCACAAATGGGGCAGCCCCTTCTCAAGAGAAGCCCCATTTCTAAACATCTCCAGTGATTCCAATTTCTTCAGTATGCTCCTCATCCCACTTGCAAGCCTGGCATGGTCTGCACAGTGGTGACCTCAGAGTAGATCCCATTGAACTCAGTGGGGATAATTGACAGAACTTGGTACAAAAACCAGTCACCGTCCTGTCCCCAAGCCTGAAAACTGCAACCCCAGAGCATGGGCAGAAAAGAGCAGAGTAGATATTACATGTAGGTGCCCCCATGCTAGGTGCTTTGTATGGAGAGCCCTGTTCACAATCTTTGAGCTCTCTCATCACAAGCCAGGCAAATGTTGTGGCTGTATCCGCTGTTGGAACTCCGTTCGACTGAGCTACTCCTCCGGTCGAGTCTTCGGAATCTCCTCCTCTGACGTGATTAATGACCTAAGCCTTTGATGAGGCTCTAAGCACGTTCCCATTATGCAGTGTACAAACAGCAGCAGGATGAGAAAGATATGAGCTACATTGCTACGTTTTATTTCTAACTACACAGACAAAAAATAATATACAGCCTCTCTCTGTGAGAGCACAGAACCAACTGGGACAAAGAAACAGGAAACCAGTAACATCAACATCCATCTCTCATCTCCCTTGAGACTTCCAACAGTCTGGAATGTAAACAGTCTTGTGACTCCAAAAACTGCACAGTGGCATAAACAGAAAACTAACATCCTCCCCCTTTCTGTGAACACCACTGAGCAGTGTGTCAGTACAATCTCAGTACAAACCCAATTTCTGTACCTAGGTACAGTGTTGATCCCACGGAACAACCTTGGACAATAAATCAGCAGGAATTTCATTACCTGGCATGTAGGACACTGTTCCGAGTCCTTTCTGAACACATTCTCTAGCATGTTGCAGCTTCAATTGCAAGTGCTTCGTGCTTTGCTTACAACCTTCAGAAGTTAGTAAAGCCAAACTTATTTTGTTGTCCTGATAAACCTGGATTGCACACTTTACAGGAATTCTCATGTCTTTACACAATTGTAACAACCATTCACAACCCACAAGTGAATAAGACAGTGCATTCAGTTCAGCTTCACAAGAACTTAAGCTTACTGGTGTTTGCTTCTTGCACGACCAATCAAATAGACCCTGGTTGTACGTGTAGCAAACTCCAGACGTGCTTTTCCTGTCTATAGTGTCACTTCCAAAACTCACATTAGCAAATATCTCAAGACTGCCAGACTTTTTATTGTTAAATCTCAGTCTGTAGCGCACAGTGCCTTTCAAATAGAGTACTATGCGTTTCAGAGCTTTCCAATCCTTAGCAGGATTGTCTGCTTAGCAAATTAGTGCTAATTGCACTGTCAGGTTTTGAACATCTGGCAATGAAGTTTAGTTTGCCTAGCATACTTCTGTACAGTGTAGTGTCAGAAAATACTTCTTCAGTATCATCTACCTGATAACCTGTTGTCATTGGTGTGTCTACAGGGTTAGCATCCATCAGGTTTAGTTTGCTTAACACATCAGCAATTTTCTGTGACTGGTGTACTAAAATATTACCATCTTGGTCTCTATTTCCAGAGATAGGTAGTTGGTTACCTCACCAAGATCTTTCATGTCAAAGTGCTCCTTCAGTTGAGCTAGGGCGTTGTTGTATATCTTGGCATCCTTCCTAAAGAAAATAATATCAACAACATAAAACACGCAATACAGCTTCTTTTTCCCTTCCTCTTTGACAAATACACATGGATCAGCTTTACTTTGCTGAAAACCTAGAGAAAACAACACTTCAATGAGTTTAGAGTGCCAGCATCGTGCACTTTGCTTGAGACCATATAGTGACTTCTTCAGAGAACAAACAAGTCCCTGTTTTACCCGTATGCCATCAAGTGGAAGCATATAAAGTGATTCACCTAAGGTTAAGTACAAAAATGCTGTAATTGCATTGTGATGAGAAACCCGTAGATTCTCTTCTGCAGCAAGTTTGTGCATAAGCCTAATGCTCTCATATCTCATGGTGGGTGAGTAGGTCTCCTGATAGTCTTCTCCTGGTATCTGTGAAAAACCCCTGGCAACCAGTCTGGCTTTGTGTCTGACTACCTTGCCATTTTGGTCTACCTTTGCTTTGAAGACCCATTTGTTTTAAGCAGTTTCATCCCTGGAACTGTCGGAACTAGCTCCCATGTTTTGTTCCTCTCTTAGGAATCAAGCTCAGCCTTCATGGCAGTTAACCATGGCTCAGCACTCTTTGAGTCCAAAGATGGATCTCTTGGAAGTTTGAAGGTTCAAAAACTTTCTCAGAGCTATTAACAGCAGTTACAGCTTTAGCTGCTTTAGCACATTCATCAGCAAATCTCTTTGGAGGTTTACCTTTTGTGGCTCTTTCAGACCTGCGAATCAAAGGTAAGTCTTCAACGCTTTCCTCTTCTTTCTTAGGAGAAAAGTGGCCTATAGTGAACAGTGGTTCCTCCAATTCTCGGCCAGAGCCTTCAGAGGGTCGCAGAGAGGCCTTAGCACTCTTGAAATCCTCTGAATCATCTGAGTCAGTCTCAGACTCAGATTCAGAACCTTCAGCAGTAGGTGTGGGGTTTCGCTGTTGTTTATCCTCAGACTTTTCAGTGTCATCAGGATAACAGTGGAAAATTCCCACATTCTCCCCCCACTTGGCATTGTACTCAAAACTTCTAGTAAGTCTAACTATTAGTGTCAGTCATCGTTACTCTGTAAAAACCTTTCTGATATCCTAGAAAGATACAATGCAAACCACATTTGCCTAACTTGGAGCTTTGTGGTGTGTGAACCCACATGTCAGATCCAAAAATGTGCTTGATGTATGGTTTCTTGCCAAACATAGGGGGTACAACCAATCATTGATGACAATCTGCAATTAAAAGAATAAACAAAACAGCTGAGCGCTTCTGCCCAATAATTCTCTGGAAGATTGGCATCATGCAGCAAGGTTTCCAAGCCTTGAAGCAAAGTTTGGATTGCCCTTTCACAAAGTCCATTCATCCAAGGAGACTGTGGACTTGAAAGGTCATGTTGAATTCCTTTCTCAGTCAGAAAAGCTTCAAACTGCTGAGAAGTGAATTCTCCCCCGCAATCTGTAAACAAACACTTCACTTGTCTACCATGCACATTATTCAACCAAGCACAGAATTCCTTGAACCTCGGAAACGCTTCTGATTTCTGCTTGAGATTGAGTGTTGTGTTGTGTTGTACTGTTTTATTGTTGTTATCCGCCCGGAGCCCGGCTTCGGCTGGGGAGGGCGGGATATAAATAAAATTTATTATTATTATTAACACATGAATATTTATGCAATATGAATCAATGAGGACCATAAAGTATTTGGCTCCACCCAAAGAGGGTGCTAGTGGACCAACGAGATCAGCATGCACTACCTGATATGGTTCTGTAGCTTGTCTACTTGATACCTTACCTTTTGCAGCCATTTTGACCTTGTTTGCTGCGCATGCCTTACACTTCATGTGGTACCTGCAGGGTTTAATAGTCATACCTTCAACTAAGGCAGGCATTTTGGAAACTGCCTCAAAGTTTAAATGACAAAGTTTCCTATGATAATCATGAATACATCCTGCATGCAAAACCTTGTTAGTATCTGCAATACAACAAGTTTCACCCTGCACAACATCAACAGAATCATCATAATGCAATACAAATAAATGATCAACACAATCAGCATGCAATATATAATCATCTTTCTTGGTGATGGTGCACTTCCTCCTCTTGAAGGAAACGTCTATGTCCTGTTCAGTCAGCTGCGAGACGCTCAATAGATTGTGTGCAACATCTGGCACAAAAAGAACGTTACGTATCGATGCATCCAAGCTGTGAAACACAACCGTTCCATAGCCTTAACAGGAGATTTGTGTGGTCATCCGCTTGGTGAATTGCACCTTCACATTAAAAAGACCCTCTTTGCGAAGCAGGGCTTCTGCATATTGCACCCATTCCTGGTAATTCTCCTTTTTGAGCTTCAGTATTCCCATTGCATTTTGAATAGCTTCCATTATTCTTGCATTGGCCTTCTGTGTCATTAAGCAGACTGAGGCTGTTACAAGCAGCGATTCAAAAAGCACACTGCATGAGGCTTTTGCATGGAAGCCATCCAAGTATAGATCTTCCACGTGTTCTAAATCTGTAGTGTTCTTAAGAACACCAGGCATGTATACTCTCCAAAAACTCCAGAAGCTTTATGTTCCTCTTGTGACAAGATCCCCAAAGGCTTAGGGTAGCTTGATAGAACTAGTCTATTTTGAGATAGCACCACTTGCCATTTCTTGTTTATCAAAACCCACAGACTCTCTGCTAGATTTTCCCCTAAAGGTTTTACAAGGACCTATCAGGACACAGGTGGCGCTGTGGTCCAAACCAATGAGCCTAGGTCTTGCTGATCGAAAGGTCAGTGGTTTGAATCCCCACGACGGGGTGAGCTCCCATTGCTCGGTCCCTGCTCCTGCCAACCTATCAGTTTGAAAGCACGTCAAAGTGCAAGTAGATAAAAAGGTTACCGCTCCAGCAGGAAGATAAACGGCGTCTCCGTGCACTGCTCTGGTTTTGCCAGAAGAAGTTTAGTCATGCTGGCCACATGACCTGGAAAAACTGTCGGCGGACAAACATCGGCTCCCTTGGCCAGTAAAGCGAGATGAGTGCCGCAACCCTAGAGTCGTTCACGAATGGATTTTTTTCTTCTTTCTCCATGCTATTTCCTCATTGATTACCATTGAATATTGTGATTGTAATAATTTTATCTCCTGCTTTACTATTTCTTTATCTAATGCTTTTATTAATTCTTTTTCTTTTTCTGCTATTTTATGTAAAATCTTTCCTTTTCTTCTTTTACCTTCTTTTTAGCTGAATTTTTTTGAATGAATAGGCCTCTCATCACCACTTTGCTAGTGTCCCAGACTGGAGTTTGGTCTCATTATTCAAATTTTGTTCAAAATATTCACTTATTGTCTTTTCTGTCCTTTCCAGAAAGACTTTATCATCTAATATTTATTCATTCCGTCTCCACCGAAAGGTGGACTGAGTGTCTTTCTGTATTTCCATAATTATAGAATCATGGTCTGATATTTTTCTTGGATCTATTTCAATTTTTTTGATTCTTGACTGTTGGGTGTAGTGAAGGGTTAACCTTCTGTGCCTCAAGCCTGAGAGGAGGCGCGTACAAGGGAAGTACGCCAGGACGTGACGAAAGCAGCTTGGAATGCTGTGAGCTGAGTGGAAAAGCGAAAGCAGGTTGTTCAGTCGCTGCACTGAGAGAGAAGGACGCAGAGAAAATGCAGCTTGAATCTGATGGCTATTATGAATTGTAAACACACTACTTTTGAGCAAATAAAGGGATAGTAGGGCAGAAGAAACGTGTGGGACTTTTTTTACTGCCCTTTCGACGCAGACGCTGTGTAATTCTGCTAATTGCTTTACGACCGCTCGAAAGCCACACTGCGTAAACAGAGGCTGCAGAGGCTCGCAGGAGAAGCGTGGCTGGGCGCTGAACAATAAAGCAATAAATCTACCAAACAAGGTTATGGGTCAACGTGAAGCGTGTGAGAAAGGGCTTGGAAGACTCTAAAAGGCTGAACGTCAGCTTGATCGACTGCCAAGGCTTTAAAGAGAGAAGAGGGCAGATCGGAGGAGGCTGACAGAGTGGGAGCTGGGAGCCACGTCGTCCGGAGTGCCCGGCTTGGCTGCAGAGTGAGTATTATCGGCTGCTCTTGCAAAGGCCAACAGAAGTGAGGCAATGGCTCAGCCCCATGGACATGGCTTTGAGTTTAAACTGCCGTGTCAGAAACTGACTAGTCAAAATTGGCTGCAGTGGAGCTTTTGCTGGCGGGGGAGCAGCTTTGGGACATAGTACAGCCTCTACAGAATGCAGCTGGGAAAGCAGAGGCTAAGAGGGCTGCAGAGCAAAGTGAAGTTGAGAAGCATGTGCTTGCTTTTTTGGCAGAAAATGTGGATGCTCAGCTGGTGCCAGTTGTCCTGGGTGCAAAAAGGCCAGAGGCCGCTTGGCTAGCACTCCGAGAAGCTTGTGGAGCTGGGGTGGGAAGCAAGGGCCGAGAAGTGGCTGCATCTGAAAGGGAGAGGCAAGATGGCCACATTCATGAGAGCCGATACACAGCTGGGAGCCCCCACAGGGGGGCGAAGGGACTGTTGCTGGCAATGCTGCTGGTGCTTTTGCTGAGTCTGGGAGCTGTTTGGATGCTGCAACGTGTCTGTGTGAGGAGCCTGGAGGCCAAGTGTTGGGAGCCCTTTACCCACCAGAGGGGGTGCAGGAAAACGTCCTGGGGGCCCCATGAGCAGTGGGGGGCAGTGAGCAGTGAAAGCTCAGAGACGCCTCTTTCTCCAAAAGCTGCCAAGAGTTGTTTACGTCGTGAGTCGGAGCCTGGGAAGCTGAAAAGAGCTAGAGGTTTCAAGGCTGGCCACCTGCAGCAAAGACAGATAAGAGCTTCGGATTTGTGTGGGAACGCTGAGACAAGTCCGGTCTCCAAGGCAACTGAGAGAGTTGCATTTACGGAAGCTGTGAAGGGCGTGGGCAAGTCTTCCTGCCGGGGGGAGTCTGTTGCCGTGACAACCAGAGAGAACATCTGCAGAAGCCCCAAGAAGGGGGGTAGTTAGGAAATTGTTGCCATGGCTTCCCAGGAATGTCAACAACAAGACTTTCTCACTGTAATAATAGACTCTGGTGCCACAAATTCGTTGGTGCCATCTCCTGGTCTTTTGAGGAATTGCAGGACAGTAAAAACAAATTTGTAACGATTGCGGATGGAAGCAGAAAAAGACTAACAGAGACAGGCTTTTTCTTCTGTCCTTTTCTTAAGCATGAAGTCAAAGCTTATGCAGTGCCCGGTTTAACTAACTGTTTGTTAAGTGTGCATGATCTACTCGTTGATGGTTTTCATGTCTCTTTTGCAGGTGACAAATGTGAGTTTTCCAAGGATGGGAAACACGTGTACACAGTGCAGTCTAAAGATAATTTGTTTGCTGTAAATGTGCCTTTTTCCACAGGAGAGGATGACACCGAAGATGCGATGGGCCAATGTGTGAATGTGGCGCCTCACCATGGTTGTTCACATATTTGGCACGGACGCTTCGCCCATTTGAATTGGAGATATCTTCAGAAAGCACCAGAACGGACACAAGGGTGCAAATTTAATGTTTGTGACAAATTTTTAGATTGCAATGCATGTAAACAGGTGAAAATTGTGACATGCTCATATCCAAAGTCAGAGAGGCAGACCACACAACCCTTTGAATTAATTCATTCAGATTTGTGTGGACCCATGTCAGTTGAGTCACTGGGAGGATCAAAGTATTCTCTACTTCTGATTGATGATTTTACGAGGTCTGCTTGGACCTTCTCTCTGAAAACGAAAGGGGAGGCGGCTAAAATGATCAGGGATTGGATCACCGCAGTTGAGGTAACCTTTTCCACCAAAGTTCATGGTTTTCAAAGTGATAGAGGTTCTGAATTCACTGGTTCTGCTTTACAGGATTTCTTTAGGGAGAAGGGGATTAGCCACAGATTGACCGCTCCTTACTCTCCGCAACAGAATGGGCTGGCAGAGAGAAGGAACAGGACGGTGGAGGAAGCTGTGTCTGCAATCCTGTGGGACGCAGGGCTACCCCAAAAGTATTGGTCGGAGGCTTGGAGATTTGTGGTTCATACGCAGAACAGCGTGTACAACTCTAGTGTAGGAAATACGCCGTATTTCTTACTGCATGGAAAGAAGCCCAAGGTACACTACCTCCGTGTGTTTGGTTGTGAGGCTTGGGTGCTTATTCCAAAGGCTCTACGCAAGAAAGGTGAGCCAAGATCTAAAAGAATGATCTTTGTAGGGTATGGGCCTGGCTCAAAGGCCTGGCGGTTTGCGTACCCAAGTGGAAACCAGTCTAGGTTGGTTATGAGCAATAGCGCTAGTTCTGTGAGCAAGCCGGTTGGAAACGTCTGCACGCTAATCCAGACGTGATTCCACAGCAGTTCTATGACTCAGATGTTGAGGAAGAGGAACCTGTTGCTGGGGACCATGGTCCAGAGCAACAGGGTCCACCACAGGGACAGAGTCCATGGCAGGGACAGCTCAGGATCCCTCAGGGGGGGAACCTAGAACACCTCCTCAGGCAAGTGTCAAGTTTGAGCCAAAGAGTGAGCCTTCTTCACCTGCTGGACCAGCTGTAAGGCCCAAGAGGCGCAGCAGGTCAGAGGGGGAAGACACTGAAGTTGAGGAGGATTTAGCTGGACCCAGTGAAGCAGCAGGGTCACCAGGATTCACACTGAGGAGATCAGCGAGGACAAGGAGGCCTCCTGATCGGTACGACGCTTCAAGCGTCTGGGTAGGTTCAGCCAGATGTGAACCTGAATCCTTCAAGGATATTCAGAGTTTACCTGAGGATGAAGCAGGCAAGTGGCACAGAGCAATGGACAAAGAGATGAAGTCCATGAAAGATCTAGGTGTGTTCTCACTCAGAGTTGCCACCGGGCAAGCAGGCTGTGAGTTGCAGGTGGGTGTACCGCTTGAAACCCACTGACGCTGGAGAGCCACAGTATAAAGCCAGGTTAGTTGCTCGAGGATTCACTCAGAGAAAGGGAATACACTTCACAGAGGTGTATTCACCAACGTCATGAGCGGAGACTCTGAGAACGCTTTTAGCTTGTGCAGCACAGAGAGGCTGGAAGGTAAACCACTTTGATGTGGATGTTGCGTACCTTAACTCAGATCTCCAGGAGGAGTTGTACATGCTTCCTCCTCCGGGGTTTGAGAACTTGAGGCAGGGTGTTGTGTGGAGATTGCACAAATCCATCTATGGATTGCGTCAATCTGCTAGAAACTGGAACATGTGCCTGAATGAAGCCTTAGAAGAGCTAGGTTTCAGAAGAAGTGTTGCTGATAGTTGTTTTTATTTGAGAGGATCAGGGGCAACACAAGAGTATTTGCAGATTTGGGTTGATGACTTGTTGTTTTTCTCAGAGACAGATGAACAGGCGGAGAAGTTTGCCAAAGAGCTAGGTAAACGATTCAAGCTCAAACAGCTTGGTGCTGTCAAAACCTATCTAGGTGTCAGTGTTGACCGAGCACAGGATGGAAGCTTCTTGCTCAGCCAGAGAGGCAAAATTGAGCAACTGCTTCAGAAACTGAGGATGAGTGATTGTGTAGGAGTGAGAAGTCCTATGGAGACTAGTTTTGTGAAGGACAGCCAGCAAGTAGAACGCGCGGCGTTCGAAAATACTGAAGTGTTTCAGTCAGCCCTAGGGAGTTTGTTGTACTTGTCCCAGTGGAGCAGACCTGATATAGCGTTTGCTGTCAATCTGCTCAGCAGGGAAGCTTCAAACCCTAGTGTGCAAGCCTGGAATGGCATCAAGAGAGTTCTGAGGTATTTGCAGGAGACCAAAGACTTTTGTCTTAGGTTACCAGCACAAGGAGAAGTCAAACTGACTTGCTTTGTGGACTCAGATTGGGCTAATCTTGAGGATCGCAAGTCTGTGTCTGGCCTAGTGGTGAAGTTTGGGAACTCAGTAGTTGGATGGAGGTCCAAGAAGCAAAGTCTTATAGCGCTCTCATCCACTAAGGCTGAGTTTAGTGCTCTTTCAGAGGTGTGCAGAGAAGTAGAGTCCTATGCTTGCTTAGTGCAGGAACTCTGCGAAGTGGATTGTCAACCGATACGTGTTTTCGAGGACAATCAACCATGCCTGCGTTTGGCAGAGTCAGGTCAGTTCAAGGCTAGAACTAAACACCTAGACATTCGCTTTTGGAATGTGTGCCAGAGTGTTCAGGAGGGATTAGTTGCGTTGAAGTATTGTCCCTCTGCCAAGAACCTAGCTGATGGGTTCACGAAGCCACTCTCCTTCCAAAGACATGGGGAGTTTTGCGAAGGTCTGGGTTTGGGACGACCAAGGGTCGATTCTCCCCTCAGGCGCGAGACAAGAGGGGGTGTTGGGTGTAGTGAAGGGTTAACCTTCTGTGCCTCAAGCCTGAGAGGAGGCGCGTACAAGGGAAGTACGCCAGGACGTGACGAAAGCAGCTTGGAATGCTGTGAGCCGAGTGGAAAAGCGAAAGCAGGTTGTTCAGTCGCTGCACTGAGAGAGAAGGACGCAGAGAAAATGCAGCTTGAATCTGATGGCTATTATGAATTGTAAACACACTACTTCTGAGCAAATAAAGGGATATTAGGAGAGAAGAAACGTGTGGGACTTTTTTTACTGCCCTTTCGACGCAGGCGCTGTGTAATTCTGCTAATTGCTTTACGACCACTCAAAAGCCACACTGCGTAAACAGAGGCTGCAGAGGCTCGCAGGGGAAGCGTGGCTGGGCGCTGAACAATAAAGCAATAAATCTACCGAACACTGACTCTAATTCCTTAGAGACCCAAACCGCATCAAGTCGGGCGCTGCTTCCATAAACATGAGAGAAAAAAGTTAACTGTTTTTCAAATGGATGTTTAATTCTCCAAATATCTATCAATTTTACATTTTCTGTCATTTCAAAAAAAGTTTTGGGAAGTCTACCTTCTTTCGTGTCTTTCTTCCTGATCGTTCTGTCTTTCTCTCTTTTTTTTCTTTCTTTTTTTAAAAATATTTTTTTATTAATTTTTCCAATACAAACTTATAAAAAAGACATCCACTTTATCACCAACACAATCTTTTTGGACTTCCATCAGCTCCTCTGATAATCCTCTGTCTTAATCACTTCTTACGCGTTCCCTATTTAATATTGCCTTACGATAATAACATATCCTATCTTTTTCTTTTTTACAATATTTCTGCTCTTAATTCTTCACAGAGCTTCCTGTAAACTTACAAACGTTGTCTGATCATCACATATACTTTTCATATAATCTATAAATTTAATCCAGTCCTCAGTGAACTTCAGGTCCCGCCGGTTCCAGATCCTTCCTGTTAATTTATCAAGTTCTGCATAGTCCATTAGCTTAATTCTCTACTCTTCAATTGTAGGTAGTTTTTCTTGTTTCCAATTTTGGGCCAATAGTATTCTTGCTGCTGTTACTGCATATAAAAACAACTTCCATTCTTTCTTATTAATTTCATTTCTGATTATTCCTGAAAGAAATGCTTCTGGCTTCTTTATGAATGTATATTTCAACATTTTTTTCATCTCATTATATATCATCTCCCAGAAACATTTTACCTTTTTACACTCCCACAACATATGATAGAATGTTCCCTCCTTTTCCTTACATTTCCAACATTTATTACTTATTTTATACATTTTTGCTAGCTTTACTGGTGTGATGTACCATCTATATATCATTTTCATCACATTTTCTTTTAATGCAGTACAAGCAGTAAATTTTAATCCTTCATTCCACAATTTTATCCAATCATTTAATTGTATATTATATCCAAAATCTTTGGCCCAATGAATCATAACTGATTTAACCTCCTCATCCTTTGTATACCATTCAAGCAGCAATTTATACATTTTGGACAAAATTTTTGAGTCATTATTCAGTATTTCTTGTTGAAACTTTGATTCTTTTTCAGCAAAACCTTTTTCTCTAACATCTTTTTTAAACATTTCATTAACCTGAAAATAATGCAACCAATCATTAACATACTCTTTTACTTCATCATATGATTTCCATTTCCATTTACCTCCTTCTTTAATTATTAAATTCCCATATGTTATCCACCTCCCACTCATATTGATTTTCCTCACACTCATCACCTCCAACGAAGACAACCAATGTGGTATTTTTTGTTCCAATAGGTTTTTATACCTATCCCAAACTTCTGTGAGAGATCTTCGAAAGATGTGGTTTTCAAATCCTTTATGAACTTTTTTCTTATCATACCATAAATATGCATGCCAACCAAATCTGTTATCAAATCCTTCAAAATCCAACAGTTCTGTATTTTCTAATTTCATCCATTCTTTCAACCAACAGAGGCATGATGCTTCATAGTATAATTTCAAGTCCGGCAAGGCGAAGCCTCCTCTTTCTTTCGCATCTGTTAATAACTTAAATTGTATTCTCGGCTTCTTACCCTGCCAGATATACCTCAAAATTATCCTTTGCCATTCTTTAAATATCGCTGTCCCTTTAATTATCGGAATTGTCTGAAATAAAAATAACATCTTCGGCAACACACTCATCTTTATCGTTGAAATTCTTCCCCAAAATGATAACTTCATCCTCCCCCACGCCTCTAGGTCTCTCTTAATTTTATCCCACATTGGTATATAATTATTTTGAAACAGATCATTATTTTTGGGAGTTAACCAAATTCCTAAATATTTCACTTTCTTGACCACTTCTATACCTGTTTGTTGCTGCATTCTTTCAATCAACTCCTTAACGCCGTCTGCTGCGCAGATCTTTAAAATCGAAAGTAAAAATAACAAAGGTCCCTTTCCCCCGATTTCCAAAAGTTCACCAAAAAGACTGAAAAACAAAAGTTTTTTTAACTAGATTCCAACTTCTTTAAGTTAAATAGATATCTGTTAAAAAAGTTCTAACCACCAAAATAAAGTCCGTTTGAATTAACTCACAGTTCTCTTTTCCGTTCTGTAGATACTCCTTGCGTGTACTTAGAATTCCAGACAAGGCTGACCTCCTTTTTTCCACCTCGCCCGTTCCGAATTGTTCCCAATCACCATCCGTTAATTTTATAATCCAATTAAATTCGGTTTTCTTAATGTTTGAGAGTCGATCACTTCTGCGTACAAGCTTGGGGCTGCGCTTTCGGAGGATAGAAAATGGCTTCCCGCTGCCTGCCTTTCTATCTCGTCATTCTCTTCGCCTCTAAAAAGAGGTTACCTGACGGCCGAGGGAATCGCAATTGGCTGTGCCAGGAACCTGCTCCCCGGATCTCCTTCCGGGGATATTTTGGGGGCTACGGCGCCCGTGCAGCACCCCCTTTTTTCTCCCCAAAGTTGAATTCTCTCTAGAGAGAAGAATCCCGCTTGTGCTCGCTCCCGCGATCAACCGGAAGCTCTCGTTCTGTCTTTCTCTAGTGATGGGACTCCATTAAGATCTCCCATCACTATTATTTTCTCATCTGCAAATTCTAGCAATTCTGTTTCTAAATCCTGAATTTTTAAAATTTATTTTCATTTGGTGCATATATCCCTACCAAAATTATGTTTTCCTCCCTCAACTTTAATTTGTACCATTAATTTTCTCCCATTCTCATCCTTTTGAATTAATTGTGGTTCAAGTGCAGGTTTTATGTACAAAACAATTCCACAATTTTTGGAAACATCTGATGCAATAAATTGGCTGCCTAATTCTTATTATTCAAGATTTTCTCACCCTTCTTGCAACATGAGTCTCCTGTAGGCAAATTATATGCAAATTCCATTTTAAAACCTCATGCCACACCCTGTTCCTTTTAATATAATTGTTAAGGCCATTGACATGCCAGGTTAGTAATTTAAGATTTGTGATGATCTGATTCATTTAAAAAAGATTTGCTTTTTTGCCCTGTTCTTTCAGTCTTTTCCAGTTCCTCTCTTTGCATCTCATAGGGGGTTCTGAAGTCTCTCCCCGAGCTATGTCTTTGCCATGTTTATCCAGAAATTCCTGTACCTGACTCTCTGACATTGATCTGAATCTCTTTCTCCTATAAGTAAAGGAAACTCCCTCCGGGAATTCCCATTTATAATTTATTCCTGCTCCTCTTAGAATTGATGTCAGGTTTGATACTTCCTTCAGCCCTCCTGTCTTTTTCTCACTCTTGCCTTGTATACAACTGTTCTCCCACCAATCCAATTCCCACACCCTTTTAAACCAAACTGTAACAACACTTTCAAACTTACAGAATTATAAAAGTTCCACAATATCCAAGAGAGAGAGAGAAAAGTGGGCAATATCAACTTTATATACAACCTACAAAAAAAAAGAATAAAAAAGCAGGCCACAACAAAAGTCTAATAGTTACCATTGTTCAAACTCACTGTTACATTGTCTCCTTGATGATGATTAAGCACTTGCCAAACTTCTAGTTATATTATAATCCAATGTGTCTTGTAATCCAAAATATTTACACTGTGAGTTCAAATATTTTCCAGACGTATTTAATCCAAATGAGATTTGTAATCAAAATGGTAATTGTAATCCAAAACATGCTATTTCTCTCAGTTTTTATTCAGTTTTTATTCCAATACAAGCCCTGGTCTTTAAAAAGAAATCCCGCCCCCCCCTTTCTCCTACTCCAGCTCTTACCAGGCACTTCCCCTCCCTGGGATTACCGTATTGTCCGCTCTATAGGACGCACCGGACGATAAGACGCACCTAGTTTGGGGGGGGGGGGACAAGAAGAAAAAAATTCTGAACCCCAAAAGCCAGAACAGCAAAAGGGATCTGGCTTCTGGGATAGCCTCATGCTGTTCTGGCTTGAGGGACAGCCTTTGAAGCTTCCGCAGGACAGCAGGGTGAAGTCAGAGGCTGAAGGCAGAGGCTCTGCGCAGCCATTCCCAAGCTAGAACAGCAAGACGAAGCGCTGCGCAGCGCTGCATCTCCCTGTTCTGGCTTTGGGCTTAGCAGCGCAGCCTGCATTCGCTCCATAAGACGCACACACATTTTCCCTTACTTTTTAGAAGGGAAAAGGTGTGTCCTATAGAGCGAAAAATACGGTGCCTCCCAGTTATGGAAAAGTGTCCTCCTGCCAAGCTTTGGTAGGACTTGCCAAGATCCAGGGTCCTTTTTAGAGGGTTTTTTAAAAAAAGAATTTGCAATGTTTTCAAGCCTTTCAATGCTTTCATTCATAAAATCTGCATCCCCATTCAGAAAAACAGAGTACTCCAATCACTTCCTGTATCTTCCTTTTAAGGAATCAAAGAACAAAGAGCTACAGCTTCTTCTTGTATCCAGAGTACATAGTGTTAATAAGTAGCAAAGTAACAAAGTGCAGTTTAAAAAATATCTTAAGACTGATGTGTCCCCAAAGGTTTTTTTCCCATTCACAAGTCTGGACTTCAAAATCTTCCCTTCAAAATACGGAAGTTGATTTCCTGTTTAGATTCCGTCTTTGACAAATCTAAATTAAATCCAATTCTTTTTATTTTGAAAAGTCCATTGTTGTTGGCAATACCTTTTTTCCTTTGAAAGTCTTCTGCCTCAGGTGGCGATTTCTGGTTTCTGGTTTCTGAGCTGCGATGGAGCCATGGGCAGGCTCAAGCCACTGTCTCACATACCCCCCCCCCCACTCGCTGCTGATGCAGTGTTGGGGCTCCGGCAATCGCGTCAAGCCTCTTCACGCCCGGCTGGTCCCCTCGACACCCCACTACCTGTAGGGCACTTTGGGGGGGGGTCTAACCCTGGCACTCACTTCCACTGCTCAAAAGCCCCGGTAACGGTCGTCTTTTAGACGGACGACTCACACCACCTTGCCATTTCCCTTTGCAGACAAATCAGAAGCCCAGGATCAGGTTACTTTCAAGAGTCATGGCTTCCAGTGCTGCCTGAAGGATCGGTAAGTTGTCTGACATGGGTAGAGCATTCATTCACGGTGCTGGTTTTAGACATTTTGAGCTGCCAATACATCACAGTGGTCGGAGAGCGGTGATGTATTCGTAACTCAAATTGCCTGCAGGTGACAAAGGCGCAGGCAGGCAGGTGGAGGAGCCCAAAAATGGTGCCCCCCTGAGCAAGCCCCAATACCTCTATGGCTCCATCCATCCATGTCACCATCTCCCCTCCCCTGGAACTCACCAGATCTCTCGGAGGTCCCTGGGAGGGAATGCTCAGAGGTTGTGCAAAGGGATGCAGGAGACAACCTGACCAGGTCAACCGTCCATCTTCCCCCTTCCATCCTTACGAGCTTTGCAGGATCCGTCTCTTTCATCCTTCCTGAGCAGTCAAAACAAGCTGCAGGGTCCTTTGAGAGACCAAGAAGCAAAGGGAGCCTCAGAGGCCCTGCAGGGATTCTCTTGCCCTAGATATTCTCCTGCCCCTGGAGAAGCACAAATGGGGCAGCCCCTTCCCAAGAGAAGCCCCATTTCTAAACATCTCCAGTGATTCCAATTTCTTCTGGATGCTCCTCACCCCACTTGCAAGCCTGGCATGGTCTGCACAGTAGTGACCTGAGATTAGATCCCATTGAACTCAGTGGGGGTAATTGACAGAACTTGGTACAAAAACCAGTCACCGTCCTGTCTCCAAGCCTGAAAACTGAAACCCCAGAGCATGGGCAGAAAAGAGCAGAGTAGATATTACATGTAGGTGCCCCCATGCTAGGTGCTTTGTATGGAGAGCCCTGTTCACAATCTTTGAGCTCTCTCATCACAAGCCAGACAGATGTTGTAGCCGTATCCGCCTCTGTCAGGAGTTGCATGGGGACCAAATCTATACGTGGAAGCAGAGGAGCCGGTGATGCCACATTTTTGAAATATCAGGAAACTAATACACCCCTCCTCCTTAGATATCGTCTGCGCTTATACACCATCTTCGCAAGTCTCCAGTCCCAAAATGTGGCCCCCACCCTGGCAGGGAAGCAATCAAAGTATAGATCTTCCACATGTCCTAAATCTGCAGTGTTCTTAAGAACACCAGGCATCTATATCCTCCAAAAACTCCAGAGGTGAGCTTTACGCTCCTCTTGTGACAAGATTCCCAAATCTTAGGGTAGCTTGATAGAACTAGACTATTTTGAGATAGCACCAATGTCCCCTGTTAGTAGTGGGAGCCACACAATGACTGATAATCCCTCTTTTGTCCCAGAAGGGGGGTAGTAGGTGTCTTTTATCCTTGCTTTATTCTTCTTGATAATACATAGATAAATGTCTCCTTATGCACCTTACATTTTTCTAAGAGAGTATTATTCACAATCATGCTTGCCATGTATAGATTGTCTTATTTCCCTTTAGAAAAGCCTCTCCAATCCCTGGCTCCTGTGGGAGGGAGTTCCAGTTTTAACTACGTGAAAGTTATAAGTTTAATGTAAATAAAGCATTCTGCAATGGAAACAAGACTGGGGTTCCTCCTTTGGGAAGGGATGGGCGACCTGGGGACTCCAAAGGCTATGGGCTTGTTTTCTAATAGCAGCAGCTGCAGAGAAACTCCAGGATGGGGAACATTCTTGAAAGCTCACTCTGGGATCAGAGGGAGAAAAGTTGGCAGACCTGCCACCCAGAGCCCCCTCCTTCTCCTCCCTACATTGCCTCACCCCCTTCAGGACAAGATCTTGGGGTCCTTAAGGCGGCTTTCCACCCTCTCCTCTCAAGGAAGGTAGCTCCGTTCCCTTGAACCCTGGCAAGCCCAGTGCAGCCAGCTCAGCCCTCTGGCTCTCCCCTTTTCTCCACGGAGGAGCCCCAGGCGTGGCCCCTGCCCAGAGAGGCTTCCCTTGAGGCTCTGGGCTGGAGACCTGAGCTGATCTGGAGGAGGATCTGGCAGGGGGAAAGGCCGGCCTGGCAGGGGCTCCTCCACTGGAAGGGGCATTCTGGGCATGCCCTCCCCCCAGACCCCTCCCTCCTTCCCCAAAGAGGATGCCAAGGAAGAGCAGAGCTGCAGACCCCCTGGAAACTCGCCCCCTCCCAGGCTTGGCAGACAGGGATGGGGGGGCAGGACCCTCTGCTCCCAGACTTGGGGGTATCTCCCTGTAGCCCCGGGACCCCCTTCTCCCATGGGCACCCGAAGGGGGAAGAGAGAGGAGACTCACCGGATTCTTCCCAGGAGGGAAACCGAGGCAGCGCGGGGAGGAGACAAGAGACAAAAGACCGCGCCCGCACGGGACTGGGCACGGAGGGAAGGGATTCTGCTCTGGAGGGCCCGCCCCGCCTCTCTAATTCCTGTCCTCTCTAGGACTCCGGCTCTGTTCGATTTAACCCTTCGCAAGCTGAGCACAGCCCCCTGGCTGGCTGTCCTCCTTCCCTCCCAGAATCCGCGTGGTCCAGGGCATGTGCAGAGTTCTCTGTGATTCTCGGCTCAGAGTCCCTCAAGACAGGAGCTTAGTGCCCTGCCCCCAGATGGGTGGGGTAGAAATGAAATAATAATAATAATAATAATAATAATAATTAAGGCGGATGTTCCGCTTTCTAGAAACGGGGGCCAAATGTTCCTGGGTTTCTGCTCCTTCCCTCTCGCTCCTTCCCTGAGTTGTGTCCCCGTTCAATCCTTGGGACGCAGCCCTGCTTCCCCCACAGATTCAGACTTGGGGGGTTCGTGAGCGAGGGGCCCTTTTCCTCTGCTCTCCTCCCTCTCAGCTACTCCGGAGGGAATTCCAGTCAGTCTCGCGGACCCAGGGGATCCCCTCAGCCCTGGTGACTGGCTTGGGGGGGGGTCTCCTTTTCCCCTCCTCACTGGAAGGACACTCCGCTTTCGTCCGCCTCCCCATAGCCTCTCCCGTTGAATTCCCGCCTGACTCCTCTCCCCACACCCTCCTCTCCCAGTGGAGATTCTCCTCACCTTCCCCTCCAGGGTCCGCCCTCAGACCATCCCTCTCCCAATCCGCCCTTTCTCTCTCTCAGAAAACTCCCTCAGAAACGGCTCCTTTCATTTTCCCTCCAAAAGGGCTGGCTCCACCCCTCGCTGTCTTGGGAGCCAATCAGAGCGAGGCTCCAGCCCCATGGTGGTATTTCTGAGAGACTACGCACCCTGACTGGCCTGGCTCTGCTGTCCATCACAGACCCAAACAAGGGGGGGCCTCCGGCAGATATCGATATCTATAGATCACCCACGTCTTTCAGTTAACTGTCTATTTTAAACTCTTAGGGTTTAAGGTGATTGAAAATCACTGTGCCGGGTGCCAGGGCCCCGCAAAGCCTAGGGGAATCCCCCAGCGGAATTTGACTCCGAAGAGAGACCCACGGATACGAATAAAGCAAATTTATTATGAGGGCCAACAGGCCTGGCTCCATGTTCAACCACACACACACTTTAAATGGAGAACATTTGAATAATAAAAACAAAGAAATAAAAAGGGGTGTTATAGGAATTTTAAGGTCTTACATATATAAAATAAATGTTCATAACTGTACAAGGCAAACACATGCATAAATATATAAACCACATGTCTGGAAAAAGTACAGGAAAACAGTCCTAAAGTCATTTTGACTCTTTTGGGCACCTCAAATATTTCTCTGCAAAGAGGAAGGAAATGGAAAAGCCTCTCCACTGTCTCTTTATTCACAAATCCTGTCTTAAGGTTGTGTCTGTGTATGAATAGGGTGAGCCTGTATGTATGATGTATTGGGGGGGGGGTGTCTTGGGCTCCAGGGCGGGCAATTTCAAATGTCTATCTTCTTCTTTGGCGATCCCTCATAGCCGAGTAAGATTGCCTTCCATAAACACGGTTTTAACAATGAGTCCGTAAGTGACTGTGGAGGCCAATTCTGGATCCACATGTCATTCCACAGTGGGGACATTGGTTTCAGGGTGGGAGTTGATCATGGTATGGATTTGCCAAGCGTGCCTTCCTCTTAGCACGTTTCTCCCTTGCATCCTGAGTTCTAGTGTCTTCAAAGCCCAGGACACCTTTGGTCAAGGCTGTTCTCCAACTGGAGCACTTGCAGGCCAGTGTTTCCCAGTTGTCAGTGTTTATACTACATTTTTTTATATTTGCCCTGAGACAGTCTTTGAACCTCTTTTGTGGACCACCAGCATTACGCTTTCCATTTTTAAGTTCGGAATAGAGGAGTTGCTTTGGAAGAGGATCATCAGGCATCCACACAACATCACCAGTTGGAGGAAGTTGATGTTGAAGAATCATTGCTTCAACACTGGTGATCTTTGCTTCTTCCAGTACACTGGTATTAGTTCGCCTTTCTTCCCAAGTGATGTGTAAAATTTTTCGGAGACACCGTTGATGGAATCTTTTGAGGAGTTGGAGATGGGGTTTATAAGTGGTTTATATAAGGGCTTGCGCGCCATTGTTCGGGGTCCCTCCTGCCTCCTGCGTGGGGTTCTGAGCACCCTCTTGCAACAGTTAATAAAGATCAGGCTTACTAGCTGCCTTGCTTCTCAATATTCTCTGGTTGGTCTCTGTTATTTTCTCCCACCGATAGAGAACCTACAAAAGGACTCTATACAGGCTCTTGGGTACCCCATAAGGGAAAAGGAGCAGGTTTTTTTTTTTTACTTATATCACCTTCTCTCGCTTCTCTTCCAGAACAATGCTCATTTTGCTTAAAAGCACCCCATGCATACCCCATCTTTTCTGAAATAGGGGCTGGTGGTAGAATCCACCCCTAACAGCAGAGAAAAGGCAGAGGGAGAGGTGCAGGTGGCTGATGCCACGTAAAAGAGCTTTGCAGTTTGTTTGTTTACTTATGCCGGTGGTTTTCAATCTTTCTGAGTCCACGGCTCCCTTGACTAAGAGTAGTCTTTCTGCAGCTCCCCTGTGGGATAATGGGGGCAGGAATCCCCACCTACATTCAGGGCCACTGGGATGCACATGAGTGGCATGGGGGTAGGCAGGATTTTTGTGGGGGGGTTGTTTATGGAGACAGGCCTTTTGGGGGGGACAGAACCTCGATTAGCTATGTACGTTTATTGATTCCTGCCCACCTAGCAGTTTGAAAGCACCCCTAAGTGCAAGTAGATAAATAGGTACCGCTTTATAGCGGGAAGGTAAACGGCGTTTCCATGTGCTGCGCTGGTGCTGGCTCGCCAGAGCAGCTTCGTCACGCTGGCCACGTGACCCGGAAGTGTCTCCGGACAGCGCTGGCTCCCGGCCTCTTAAGCGAGATGAGCACGCAACCCTAGAGTCGGACACGACTGGCCCGTACGGGCAGGGGTACCTTTACCTTTTTTATTGATTTAGGGGTGGGCAGCTGGCTTTCCCAGCTCTCTCCCCCCCCCCCCGCTAGCCCCATGGACTCATTGGGGATTCACCCGTTCTGCCCCCACCCCATTCCGCCCCCATCCATTTTCGGCGTGGGGATGCCCCTGTTTTGCTTTTTACTAGTGCTTGCTAAATTTAAGCGCATGGAATTCTGGAAGCAGAAGGAACAAAACAGCAGGCAACGTTAGACCAAAACATTACTAGCAGTCATAGGAGAATGCCATCAGCGCTGACTGACACCTGCCTTGATTTTGCAGTTTTATATACAGTATTTGCCCTTCCACCACTCTGCATCTTTACCTCTTTGTCCTCTCTGGCAATCAGCCCTCCCCTTCGGGATTTCCCATCCATTGACGCTCCCCTCCAGGAGACTGCCTAACCATAGAGCTACGGCTACAGAGCAGCCTGTGGTCGGATGGGAACCAGAAGTGACGAGCTGCCCCTTGCCCTCCTGCTCTTGGGGCTTCGTTGGGAAACTGCCCCTCCCCCGCCCCAATTAACTGGAGGAATTAGAACCATAGAACCGGAAGGGGTCCCAAGTGTCATCTAGTCCAGCCCCCTGCAATGCAGGGATCTCAACTAAAACAAAATGAAATATTTCTGACACAGTTTGCAATACGTTATTATTTGGAATAAAATAATCGTGGAAAAGGATATTCATAACCAGAAGAATGCCAAGAAGTGCAAGTAATTCTGCTGCAGGAAGGGAACACAGAATGAATGGAGGCCCGGGAAAAAGAGAACCAATCAGAAGAGAACCGAGAGGCGGCGGCGAACCAATCAGAGGACCCGGAAACTAGAAGCCCATTGAGGCCGTTGCGTCTTGGTCATTCAGCTTCTTCCGCCCCGGCTGCTCCTCTCCAGGGGAGAGACAGGCTTCGCCTCCAGTCTGCATCTTCCCGGGATCCTTCCCTCCGAGGAAACCACCTGAGGCTGCCCAATGGTAAAGCTGCCCCTGAGGAATCGAAGAATTGAACCGGGCACCTCCTTCTGCATGCAAAGCAGCTGCTCTGCCTTGGAGCTACGCCCCCTCCCCTAATAGCATAGCCCAACATCCAGGACCCTGCCTTAAAAAGAAAAAAGCTGTCCATAATAATGACACCGGACTACCCTTGAGGGTTGTCGTGCTCAAAACCCCTCTAGCAAAACGGGCCTAACGACACCAGGCTGCTCTGAGGGGCTGTTATAACCGGGGGGGGGGGCACCCTCAGACGCAGCCCTGCCCCCCTTTGTAAACAGGTGTAATAATGAGGGATCTTTTCTCCCATGGGGTTAAGGGGGGGGGGATGTAACACTGTGCAACCTTCATTCACATGATGAGTTTTTTGGGAGGGGGGTCTCTTTCGTTGCCTCTGCCAGGGATTGGACCTGGGACCTTCTCACAAAGCAAATGGGGAAATAGAGCTGTTTGGGGAGCAAGGGAATTTATGTTTGCAGGGAGGGGAGGGGGAATCGCCTGCCAACCACCCCTCCTCCCGCTTCCTAGAGAGGCGGGTTTTCCATGAAACCTCATTAAGAGGTTTTGGATATGATCCTAAAACCTCACAAACCTGAGTGACTGGGCAAACCCAGGCTAAATGTCCCCTAAAGACCAAGAGATGGTTTTCTAAAGCTTCTATGTAAAGTTTGACATTCTTCCTGTTCCCTGTCTCTCCCTTGCAGTCCCTGGACTGGTCCCTGCTTCTCCCCCCCCCTTTAAATTTATATGTATTCTATAAATTTTGTTTTTTCAAAATGTTGAACATAACAAACATATAAAAACAACTCTCTAGTTTGAAGAGGAAAAAATGCCCCACAAATAACCCAGAGATGCATTTTAAATAAAAGCATACATTCTACTCATGTAAAAACACACTGATTCCCGGACCGTCCACGGGCCGGATTAAGAAGGCGATTGGGCCGCATCCTGCCCCCAGGCCTTAGTTTGCCTACCCCTGGTCTAGTGTCTAGAGGCATGTGCAGTAACTGTTTGGTTTGTTAGAAAAGGTATAATTTGAGGCACATTTAGCCAGTTCCAGATGTTGTCTAGCTTTGCTTAATATTTGTTCGCCAGTCAAAGGTATGCTATCTGTGTAAATGTCTCCAACCCTAAATGAATCTGTATTTCTCCATTGTTCACATCAAAGACCTGCTCTCTGCTTTGAAGTGCATCGTGGCAACAGGTGAGGGAGTCCCAGAAGTAGCCCAGTTTACACTTGCTTGTGTGTCCAGTAGGGAAGGGACCTTTAAAAAGTTTTCTTCTTCTTCCAGAATCTGGTGACCATCCAGGCCCTCTTGACCTTTGAGGAGGTGGCTGTGTTTTTCACGGAGGAGGAGTGGGCTCTGCTGGATCGTGGCCAAAGAGCTCTGCACAAGGAAGTCATGGAGGAGAATTATGAGATGGTGGCCTCTCTAGGTAAGGGCAGATATTTATGTCTGGACTGCTAGATGTTGAAGGTGTGGATCCACTCTTTTGTGCCATTTATTCATGCAGAGTAGGAATAAGAATAGCCTGCTGGATCCCTCTTTTTGTGCATGTACGATATTTGCAGCTTTGCTCTCTGAAGCAGCATCCATTTACACACACACACACACACACACACACCGCTTGTAACAGTGGAAACCACAAGTCACTGTCCTGCTAATGTTGCATGTCTTTGTAAGATCTGGATATGGTAATCCCTCCTCTTTACCTTTGCAGTCGTAGATACGGATTGATTTGAAACGGCCAGGTGATTTGTGGCCAAACGTAGCAAATATTATCTCTTTGCTTGACAGAATCCGACCTCAGTTCCTATTGGGAAGAAGGACAAAATTCATTCCTCCAGGACCCCAAAGAAGGGAAGAGCTCAGCTGGTATGCACTTAGCTGTGTTGTTGGGCCCTTTTTGCTCCAATAATAATAATAATAATAATATAAATAAATAATACCCCACCCAGCTGGCTGGGTTTCTCCACCCACTCTGTGCAGCTCCCAACAGAATATTAAATACAATAAAACATCAAACATTGAAAGCTTCCCTAAACAGAGCTGCCTTCAGATGTCTTCTAAAAGTCAAGTAGTTGTTTATCTTTTTGACATCTGATGGGAGGGCATTCCACAGAATGGGCACTACCACTGAGAAGGCCCTCTGTCTGGTTCCTTGTAACCTCACATCTTGCAGTGAGGGAACCGCCAGAAGGCCCTCGGTGCTGGACCTCAGTGTCTGGGCTGAACGATGGGAGTGGAGATGACCCTTTGGGTATACTGGGCCAAGGAAGAGAGGAAGGAGAAGCCTGATGACTTTATGTCCTGCTTCTGGGCTTCCTATCAGTATTTAGTTGGCCCCTGTGGGGCCAGGTGGACAAATGCAGCCTTCAAACCTCTCCAGCTGGCCCTTGGGCCTCTCTTCTCCCCAGACCCTGACCGGCTTCCCATCTTCCTTGAGTGTTTTTGGTCTGGCTGGGTTGTTTCCTTGAAATCAGATGGGGCTTCTTGCCAGCCTGGATGGAGGACAGAGAAGGGTGTGTGGAAGCTCTGCTCCTGTCCAAAGGTCGCATTTACATTCGTTGTAAATGCCTCTGGCCCCACAGCGTACAGGTAAGCCACTCTCAAGCTGCAAAATGTTGCCCACACAGGGTCTTCTTCTAAAGAACAGAGACGGCCTCCAGGCTGAGGTTTCCCTTCCATGTGCTGAGATGCACCCCAAATTAAAATGTCCTCTGTAGTGCCACTGAGCTGAGATCCTCTTCACGGGCGCCAGGGGGGTTCTGTTGGGTCCTCGTGTCCCCCCTGCTATCCCTCAGCAGGAGAGCTAAGATCTTGCCTTTCCCTGGTTTGGGGAAGAGAGCCATGGCAGTAGTAGCACTAGGAGTGTCTGGCTATTTTGTATTTCGTGATTTGGGTTGAAGGATAAGATCCAGTTGGATGGGGCTCTGAGGAAGGGGAGAGATGAGCAGACACAGCTCAGCAAGTTTGAGGAGCAGCAAGAAGGGACTTGTGTTGTTGTCTTGAGACAACATGTTCATAGTCAGAAGCATCTTCAGAAGCTAACATCAGATTCAGCTGGGCAGGGAAGGAAGGCGGAGGACATTCTTGAAAATGGTAAACTCAGAGAAGCTGAGAACTGGGCTCGATCCATAATGAGAGTCTCTGCTTTGCAATTTAAATGGCATTTCTTTTTCTGCCTCAAAACAGGTAATGGGCAGAAGAGTGAGAATTATGGGGAGCCATCTGTGGTGTCTGTAGAAAATGTGGAGCATGAAGCACAGAAAGAGACATTTGTAAATCAACGTTCACCTGAAAAGCATGTAGGAAATGTGTTGAAGAACTGGAAAACCAAATCGCTTACTACTCAGGACACTGATGTCTGTGTATCACTGAATCCAGAGGAAGAATGCACAGGACGTAGCAGTGTGGAGTGTGGAAAGAGCTTCAGTCAGAGTGGAAGCATTAGTTTACATCAAAGAACCCAAACAGGGGAGAAAGTGTTTCAATGCACGGAATGTGGAAAGAGCCTCAGTAGTGCTGGTAACCTTGTCAAGCATACAAAAACCCACAGAGGGGAGAAACCATTCAAATGCATGGACTGTGGAAAGAGCTTCAGCCAGAGTGGAAACCTTATTGCACATCAAAGAACCCACACAGGGGAGAAACCATATGAATGTATGATGTGCAGAAAGAGTTTCAGTCTCAATCACCATCTTACTTTACATCAAAGAAGCCACACCGGAGAAAAACCATTTAAATGTATAGAGTGTGGAAAGAGCTTCAGCCAGAGCGGAAACCTTATTGCACATCAAAAAACCCACACAGGGGAGAAACCATTAAAAACTATGGAGTGTGGAAAGAGTTTCAATCTCAATTACCATCTTACTTTACATCAGAGAAACTGCACAGGGGTGAAACTGCATAAATGCATGGAGTGTGGAAAGAGCTTCACTTGTAGGAGTGCACTTACAGAACATCAACGAATCCACACAGGAGAGAAACCATATGAATGCATAGATTGTGGAAAGCGCTTCCGTATTGGGAGTGTCCTTACTTTACATCAAAAAACCCATGCTGGGAATAAGCCATTTAATTGTATGGAGTGTGGAAAGAGCTTCAACCAGAGCGGAACCCTTACTGCACATCAAAGAATTCACACTGGGGAGAAACCATTTAAATGTATGGAGTGTGGAAAGAGCTTCAGTCAGAGCGGAAGCCTTACTGCACATCAAAGAATTCATACTGGGGATAAACCATTTAAATGTGTGGTGTGTGGAAAGAGCTTCAGTCAGAGTGGAAACCTTACTTTACATCAAAGAACACACACCAGGGAGAAACCATTTAAATGTATGGAATGTGGAAAGGGTTTCAGTCTCAATCACCACCTTACTTTACATCGAAGAACCCACTGCACATCAAAGAACACTTACAGGCAAAGTGAACAAGAGAAGTAACTGGCCGACTTATAGAGAGCTGCTAACCGAAGTGGAAAATCAGTTAAAATTAAAATATTTTGAAGAGATAAGGGAACTAATAACAGATTGGTTACAGTATTTTCAATTGAATGATAACTTCAAGATAGACAAAAAGAGAGGTTTTAGTTATGAGATATCAAGATTCCAAAAAGAACTTCTAGAAAATAATATTAAAACTGTCAAAAATGTATAACTTGCTCCTAGAATGGCATACAAAGGATAAACAGGTTAAATTGGCTATGATAAACTGGGCAAAGGACTTAGGACGTAATATACAAATGGCAGATTGGGAGAGGCTATGGAGAACAGATTGGATTTTTTTTTTAATAGTAAATTTTATTAGTATTTTCCACACAACAAAAAATGAAAAATAACAAGACACAAGACACAAAAACAAATCCAAATCTTACAAATTAATAATATAAACACTAAAAAGGAAAACAAACGTTGACTTCCACCAATCCCACAGCACCTCCTTTACCTCTCATTGTATCTTCCTGTTTTCTTTATCATCTCGATCCTAGCATCTAAATATATATCCCTCTTTCTTAACCTTTCACTTCACAAGGTTATTCCAGACTCAGCCAGATTTCTGTCCTCGAACGTTGTCTTTTAAGGTATTCGTTTAGGCATTCCCATTCCACTACACTTTTTGGTTTTTGTCTTATTATATCTGTCAGTTTGGCTAACTCTAAGTATTCTGAAAGCTTACATAACCATTCTCCCCTAGTGGGTAACTGATTCCCTTTCCAATACTTAGCCACCAGAATTCTTGCTGCAGACGTCACTTATAATAAAAATTCAGTTTGATCTTTTGGGATATCGTCGTTTAATATTCCTAAAAGGAATGCCTCTGGCCTTTTACTATATGATATTCTTAGTATTTTCTTTATTTCTTCATGGATCATGCTCCAAAATTTCCCAATTTTGGGGCATGTCCACCACATATGGCAGAAAGTTCCTTTTTGTTTCTTACATCTCCAGCACTTATAATTATATGTTTTATTCATTTTTGCCAGCCTTTCTGGTGCCAGATACCACCTGTGATGCTTTTTCATATAGTTTTCTCTTATTAGGTAACATGCTGTGAAATTTATATTTTTTTGTCCACAGTCTTTCCCATTCTTTATATTCAACTGAATGGCCCGGATCTTGTTCCCATTTTTTAATAGCGTCACCTTTTTCCTCCTTTTCTATTTTCCTATTTTGTAACAATTTATATATTTTTGAGAGAGTCTGTTGGTTGTTGTATAATATTTCCTTTTCCCATACCGAGATTTTTTTATCAAACCCCTTAAATTTATTATCCTTCTCAAATATTGTTTTTAATTGGAAATATTCTAGAGAACGGCTTTGAAATTCACAGCACCTACGCTGAAAGAAAATTATATGAAAATGATGTATCGGTGGTATCTGACTCCACACCTATCAGCCAATCACCCTTTCCCACCACCCTTCTGAGTAATACCCCTCCCCACCCTCTCACTATACATAAGGGTCTGGTGACTTCTGTTTCAGTGTATCTGAAGAAGTGTCCATGCACACGAAAGCTCATACCAATAACAAACATGGTCTCTAAGGTGCCACTGGATTTTTTAAATTTTGTTTTGACTCCTACTAAGTTATCTAATTCGTATAGAACAAGCTCCAATATTTGTTGGACGTGTAAAGAAAAGGAGGGTACCTTTTATCATTTGTGGTGGTCATGTAAGTTAACAAAGTCTTTTGGGGAATTGATGTACAATGAATTGAAAAAAATGTTTAAAATGACATTTGTCAAAAAACCAAAAGCCTTTCTATTAGGAATTACAGACTCCGATATCTCAAAAGACCAGAAAAGACTGTTTATGTATGTGACAACAGCTGCAAGGATGCTACTAGCCTAAATATGGAAAGAACCAACAGTTCCAACAAGGGAAGAATGGCAGTGCTGAAATGGCAAAACTGACTGGGAGATTCAGGAATCAAGAAGATCATGACTTTAAAAAAGAATGGGGAAAATTTATAACTTACTTGGGAGACCATTGTAAACAAACAAAAACGTTAGCCGGACTTTAAAAATAGCTTGTAAAGAAACAAAAGACATGGATGATTTAGAGAGATGAAAACTGTGGAGAACATAATGATATGTAGTTTTATAAAAATTATTTTAAGGACCCATTCAGGGGCGGGGCTAGTCACAAGATTCAGAGTATCTCATATATGGATATGTTAATCCACTCAGGTAACCTGGCAGACAGGATAAAAACAACTCACTCAGATTTCTGTTGTAGTCCGTCCCTTCTCTGATGTACATATGATGTAACTAGGGGGTGGTCCTGGGCTACACCCCTTCTGTGATGTATGTATGATGCATGGAGGGGTGGTTTTGAGCTACAGGGTGGACAGTTCAAAAGTCTATATAAGGGCTAGCACACCTTTGTCCTGGGACGACCTCCTCTTTCTTGCGTGTGGGGGGAGCATCCTGTTGTAACAGCTTTAATAAAGATCAGGCTTACTAGCTGTTTTGCTTCTCAATATTCTCTGGTTGGCCTCTGTTCTTTCCTCCTACTGATGGAGAGCCTACAAAGGACTCTATAAGGGCTCTTGGGTACCCTATAAGGGAAAGGGAGCAGTTTTTGTTTACAACACAATCAGTAGGAGTTTGTTGATGTGAAGAACGAAGTGAACACTAGACACACTCCATACATCTAAATGGGTTTTCCCATGAGAGCACAGTGGTACCTCCGGTTATGAACTTAATTCGTTCTGGAGGCCTGTTCTTAACATGAAACCGTTCTTAACCTGAGGTGCGCTTTTGCTAATGGGGCCTCCCACTGCGTTTGCTCACATCCTGGGGCAAAGTTCGTTTCCAGGAGCACCTACTTCCGGGTTAGTGGAGCTCGTTACCCAAAGCATTCACAAGGAGGACGGTACATAACCAGAGGTGTTACTGTACATAGATGAACTTAACTGAAGCACTATTCACACATCTTCCATTTAAATGGTTTCTTCTCTGAGTTTCTTGGTGTTTTGTAAGTGCTCCACTCTCATTGAAGCACACCTCACACTCCATACATTTAAATGGTTTCTCCTGTGTGTGAGTTTGTTCATGAACAGTAAGTTTCCACCTTTCTCTGAAGCACTTCCCACATTCCAAATATTTAAAGGGTTTCTCCCCTGTGTAAGTTCATAGATGTATGTTCAGTTGTAAACCTTTAGTGAAGCTCTTTCCACACTCCATACATTTAAATGGTTTCTCCCGTATATGACTTTGTTGGTGTACATTAAGGATTCCATTCTGACTAAAGCACTTTCCACACACCGTACCTTTAAACATTTTTTTTAAGGTCTCAAATTCAATGCTTTGCATGCAGGAGGTCCCAGGTGAAATCCTCGTCAGGCAGAGAGACCCTGTTGGCATCCGTCTGTCTCGGGAGGCGATGGAGGAGGGGGCCTTTGGGGGTGAAGTCCAACTCTGGGCAGCTTGCAGCACCTGCTGTGGCTGCTTCATGTCATGGGCAAATGCTCAATGCCGACAGAGGGAGGAGCAACTCCAGATGAACTCTGCTTTTGGCCTCCTATACTGCCTGCTCTTTCTACAGATATCTGAAAGATGAGCCAGTTATGGGGGCACAGAGATTCCTCTCTCCACAGGGAAATGACTCTCCTGAAACCACTGGCAATGCCCACATTTCCCTGTGCCACCTTCCCTCCCCATATTGGTTGTTCCCCACAGCACCTCCTTTGTTCCGGCTGCCACCAGGGATTTTGTCCACTTTGCAGTTTAGTGTCAGTGGCTGGTTTGAATCGGAGGACTGGGGAATGCAATTTCAGGAAGATCAGCTTCTAACAGAAGAGGAGAGGGAAGTCCCCCCCCCCCCCGCTCTTCCAGAGTTTCACAATGCAGAGAGACAGGCAGATTCAGAGGCTGCACAGTTGAGACAGGAGCTACCCAGCTTTGAGATAGTAGCTAGGAAACAGAAAGGAGAGAGGCAGCTGAGCAATACAACAATCAGAGTGGGGGGACTCCCTCTCACACACACATACCCCACTCTCTGAGATATGAGCCTGTCAGAGAACGAAGGAGAAGTGGGAGAGGGACATCCCGTTGGACGTGGGTAAGAACTGCAATCCTTGCAAGGAGTTGCCTGTTTGTGCTAGTAACATGATACGGTAATAAAAAGAGCAGAAATCTACCAACTGCTCATTAATTCTCATCTGTGAGCTACCAAAAAAGGAGGGGGGACTTCTGAACATGACATGTAGCCATGAATGAGAAGGTTTTGTAAAACAATGAATTTGTAAAATATAAACAACGTAGGACGGCTTAAGGATTACTTTGTGCACATAAGACTATGCATTTCAGTCTTTCTGCATTTTCATTGTTCCTTTATTGCAACTATAAAAAAAGATTTATGCTGTTGTTCTTGTAACAAGGAGTTGGACTAGAAGTCCGTTGGAGTCCCTTTCAACTCTACAGTTCTAGTTACAGGTAGGTAGCCATGTTGGTCTGCCGTAGTCAAAACAAAATAAAAAATTTCCTTCCAGTAGCACCTTAGAGACGAACTAAGTTTATTATTGGTATGAGCTTGGTGCATGCACACGAAAGCTCATACCAATAACAAACTTAGTTGGTCTCTTAAGGTGCTACTGGAAGGAATTTTATTATTTTGTTTCAACTACAGCTCTAGGATTCCAGAGCCAATCCTGCTTCCTAAACACCACTGTTGTGCTCCACTTTCCCCAACTCTCCACTTTCAACTCTCTCTGCCAAAGACCAAATATCAACGGACTCTCAGCACATGTTCACTCAAAATGACCCCTCCAGGGTCACATTCTGCACATCCCTAACTGTACATTGTATATTTCATTATACTTACTATTATGAGACACTTACATTCATTGTCTTAATACATATATGTACAACTTTCCATACAAACACCAGAACATCAAATACACTCCATGCATTTACAAATGATTTTCCCCTATATGAGTTTGTTGATATGAGTGACAAAGTGAACTCTGTGGGAAAAACTTCGCACATTCCATACATGTAAATGAGTTCTTCCCTGTGAGAGTCCATAGGTTTAATAACTCCATTATAATTGAAACACTTTCCACACTTTTTCCATTTAAACTGTTGCTTCTCTGTGAGATTGCTGATGTCTTGTAAGAGTTCCACTCTCACTGAAGCACCTCCCACAATCCATACACTTATATGGTTTCTCCCCTGTGTGAATTCGTTGGTGTATGGTAAGTCTTCCATTTTGACTGAAGCTCTTTCCGCACTCCATACATTTAAAGGGTTTCTCCCCTGTGTGAGATCGTTGATGTGTTGCAAGAGCTCCTCTCTCAATGAAACCCTTCCCACAATCCATACATCTAAATGGTTTCTCCCCTGTATGAGTTTGCAGGTGTCTTGTAAGTTTTCCACCTTCACTGAAGCCCTTCCCACAATCCTTACATTTAAATGGTTTCTCCCCGGTATGACTTTGTCGGTGCACAATGAGTTTCCTACTACAAATGAAGGACTCTCCACACTCCAAACATTTATATGGTTTCTCCCCTGTGTGAGTCCGTTGATGTACAGTAAGTTTCCCCCCTTGACTGAAACCCTTCCCACACTCCAAACATTTATATGGCTTCTCCCCTGTGTGAGTTCGTTGATGTTTTGTAAGTGACCCACTTTCAGTGTAACTCTTGCCACACTCCATACATTTATATGGTTTCTCCCCTGTGTGAGTTCGTTGATGTTTTGAAAGAGCTCCACTCTCAATGAAACCTGTCCCACATTCCATACATTTATATGGTTTCTCCCCTGTGTGAGTTCTCCGATGAATAGTAATGTGTGAATACTGACTGAAGCTCTTCCCACACTCCACACATCTAAATGGTTTCTCCCCTGTGTGAATCCGTTGATGTACAGTAAGCTTTCCCCTATCCCTGAAGCTCTTCCCACACTCCATACATTTAAATGGTTTCTCCCCAGTGTGAGTTCGTTGATGTCGGGCAAGACTTCCATTTTCACTGAAGCTGCTTCCACACTCCATACACTGAAATGGTTTCTCCCCTGTGTGAGTTCGTTGGTGTCTTGTAAGAGCTCCACTATCAATGAAGCCCTTCCCACAATCCATACATTTATATGGTTTCTCTCCTGTGTGAATTCGTTGATGTGCACTAAGATTTCTATTTTTACTGAAGCTCTTTCCGCACTCCATACATTTAAAGGGTTTCTCCCCCGTGTTAGTTTGTAGTTGTGTGCTAAGGTGTTCACTCATGCTGAAGTACTTTACAGATGGCCCCTCAAAATTCTGATTGTCTTCTCCATCACCTGGTTTAAAGTGGGGAAGGAGGAGAGAAAATATTGTTAGGTATTCAAGGAAAAGAACAAGAGAACTTAACACACAGCAAGACCAATCAGCACCTTCTATTATTTCAACACCTCCAGCATCCCTCCCTCTCCTATGTACATGTTTAGGAAAGGAAAGGGAATCTAAAAATAGCCTCAATAACCCCTAGTATCCAGTTCTACCTTCAACTTGCATGCAACACTGAGCACCAAGAGAAACCTTCTATGCTGAGATGAGGCATCTATGGCCCTCAAGATGTGGTTGGACTCTAAGTACCCTCAACCCAAGTAAAGATGGCCAATGACCAGGGATGATGGGAATTGTAGTGCAGCAACATCTGAAGGGACATACTTTTTCCATCTTCCTCCTCCTGTGAAAATGCTACGCCTCTGTATTGTTTTCTCCTTCCTCCCTGATCTGTAATATCTCGCTGATACATTCCAACCAGCTGTTCACATCACCTAAACCTGCACCAGGGTTCTGAGAAAGATGGGCCCTCGTTCTGATCCAAAAGGGCTCTTTTTATATTCCCACACAATGAAAGGAGACAGAAAGTTACAGCCTCACAGCAAAGTCAAAATATGTACCTCTCAATTTGTCCAGGACAACATCCCTGTATTTTTCTGTTCCAAGCGATGAGATGAGCTCAGACCTGAGTGTCAGAGTCTCTGCTATGTGGAATAAGTAAAACAGAAGTGCTGTTTATGTCATATGGGACTATAAAAATATTCAAAAAATATTAATCTTGTGAAACAAAGACAGCAAAGTATCTGGTGGCCTATTAAAAGTTAATAAATGACACTGACCAGCAAACCACATGCCACCATTTTTACCCTGTGGAATAAGTAAAACACAGGATTTTTTTGTGAATTCATACCACAATATCAGCTTACGAAGAGTTACCTACTGACAAAAGTAGATTTGTGATAAACTACAATCTTCAACATCAACTCGTTGGGCTGGTCATGTTCTTCGGATACCTGATTATTGTCTTCAAAAGCAACTACTGTATTCCCAACTTAAGAATGGAAATTGATATACCGGTGGACAACAAAAGAGGCTTCAAGACCCTCTCAAGGCAAATCTAAAAATATGCAGTATAAGCACAGAACATTGGCCTGCGAGTGCTCCAATTGGAGAATAGCCTTTAGCAAAGGCGTCATGGACTTTGAAGAAGCACAAATTCAGTACAAAAGGGAGAAGCAAGCTAAGAGGAAAGTACGTTTGGCAAATCCTCACTGTGATTAACTCCCGCCCAGAAACCTATGTCCCCACTGTGGAAAGATGTGTGGATCCAGAATTGGACTCCACAGTCACTTACGGACACACCGTTAAGATCGTGTGGATGGAAGACAATCTTACTCGGCTACAAGGATTTGCCAAAGAAGAAGACACAGCATGAATAAATGGCTCAAACAGGAGATTCACACCTTCAACGTCTAGGAATAAAAGTGGAATAAAAATGTGCCCTTACCTAGAGAGGCCAGCATCTCATAATTCTCCTCCATGACTTCCTTGTGCAGAGCTCTTTGGCCTGGATCCAGCAGAGCCCACTCCTCCTCCGTGAAAAACACAGCCACCTCCTCAAAGGTCAAGAGGGCCTGGAAGAAGTAGAGGAGGAAGAGGAAGAAAACAGAGCTTCTCTTAGATCCCCATAATCCCCACTCAACACAGAGGGAGGCTGGGTGGTCCCATCTGTGCCTCTTCCCTCCTTCCTGCTCCCGCTGCTCTTTCCCTACCTGAGGAAGCTGCCTGGCTCCTCTTTCCTCTCCACCTCTGAGAAGAGACTGTTCAGAGGGGGTCTCGAAGGCCATTGCGTTGCCACTGGAAAGGATGGAGGAGGAGGAGGAGGCATAAACTGGGCCACTTCTGGGACTCTCTCAGCTGTTGCCACGATGCACTTCAATGCAGGGAGCAGCTAAAAGCTCTGGAACACTTGAGATTATCACAACAGAAACAGAAACTATTGACTTCTGGTGTAAGTATTTGTGTATCTGTCTCTCTCTCCCCTCCCGCCCAGACCAGCTCCCTGAAGGAGGAGGCCAAGGGAGGGGGGTGTTCCGGCTCAGTGTGCAGAAATACACAAAAATGGGTTAGGAGGCTGGGTCTAAGATCGGGGTGGGGGCTTCACCTGGTGACTTTCAGTGCATAGGTGCCAGCTCCCCGGGTCCCTGAGCACCCACCCAATTCCCCATGAAGGGGCTGGGCACCCACATATTTCGGTGCCAGGGCAATGTACCCTGCATGGCACCCACAGCCCCGGGGACCCATAGTCGTGGGATGAAACTGGCACAACTGGTTCAGTGTCCCAGTCAGGTTGCATGTGGGGGGGCGCTCTTCGTCTCGGGAAGCAAAATGTCTCTCCCCCTGCCCCCGGAGTCTGGTTGATCTCTCCGCTTCCAAGAGGATCCTGCAATGCAAACCTTGTTTGGGGGAGAGGACCCCGCCCCCCTTTTGCAGCCGATTGCAGATTGCCTCTCCTGGTTCCTAGAGGGAAAAGGGGGGGAGACCTTCCTTGCTTTAATGCCCCCCCACTCATCCTTCGCCCCTCCCTGCCGCCCTGTTTGTAGGTTCAGAGGGAGGAAATGCAAATTCTTCTCCCCACCTGCACCCCAAGTCACCCCCCCCCCCGGAAATGTTGCACCTCTTTCCTCCTCCTTTGCAGGCCTCCTTCTCTTCCGGGGACGTGCATGGAGACCCCACCCCTCCAACATTGCCTCTCTACCCCCCCCCCGCCCTGCTCCGTCACTTCCTGCCTCTCTAGGAAGCGAGTTCATTGACTCAGGGGGAGTGGGGAGGGGTCCTCCCGGCAAGACGAGTCATAGGAACGTAGTGGGAAGGGACCCCCCCCCCTCCACCCCGACTGGGTCACGGAGCCCCGTGTCCCTCAGCCTTTTCCCGAACATACCCTTATTTCCTTCCTGCTGTTAGGGAGATAATTTATTACGGTCAGAGACCAGCTTATAAAACACACTTGGGGGTACAATCCCAGAAGGAAAACAAACATTTAAAACAATGTACAACAATAAATTTAAAATGTATAAATGCAATAAGCATATAGACACTTAAAACTTAAGATAAGCTACGGCAGAGAGCTGACCCAGAGTCACCCATGGAACCGAGTTTGGGGGTTTTTCTTAACAAACTAGTTTGGGTCGGGGGATGGTCTGCGCCTACAGGTCTGTACACAGAATCTTATGATCTTTGCCTAAGGGGAAAAGGTCAAATTTTTGCTTTTCTGGGAGGTCAGCGAGCCTCACCAGCAGGGGATCAATGGTCTCACTACGGGCCTCTTCATAAAAGGGACATCTAAAGAACAAGTGCTCTGGGCTTCCTATATCCCCCAATGAACAGGCGAAAAGTCTCTGAGCATGTGGGACTGCTGCTGTTCATAAATGTACAAGGCAAACACACATGCATAAGTATAGTGTCTGAAACAGTACGGGAAAGCAATCCTGAAGCTGTTTTGACTCTCCCAAATTGACCTCAAATATTTCTCTGCAAGGAGGGAGGAAATGGGAAAAGCTTTCCAGTTGTCTTTGGACTGCAGGGGCTTAAACCTTCCTTTGCAAATACAACCTGGCAAGTATCTGTTAAGCTGAGCAAACTACCAATATATGTAAGAGATTCATTATTAATAAATTATTATTACAGGGAACCAGGCAGAAGAGAAGACTTCCTGGAAAAGACCCTGATGCTGGGAAAGATGGAGGGCACAAGGAGAAGGGGATGACAGAGGACGAGATGGTTGGATAGTGTTCTCGAAGCTACCAGCATGAGTTTGGCCAAACTGCGGGAGGCAGTGGAAGACAGAAGTGCCTGGCGTGCTCTGGTCCATGGGGTCACGAAGAGTCGGAGACGACTAAACAACAACAACAAGGCAGAGGGCCTTCTCGGTGGTGGCACCCGCCCTGTGGAATGCCCTCCCAGCAGCAAAGCAGCTAGTAAGCCTGATCTTTATTAAACTGTTGCAACAGGGTCCCCCACTCCCCCCACACAGGGAGGGAGGAGAGGAACCCAGAACAAAGGTGTGCAAGCCCCTATGTAGACCAGGGGTCAGCAAACTTTTTCAGCAGGGGGCCAGTCCACCGTCCCTCAGACCTTGTGGGGGACCGGACTATGTTTTGAAAAAAATAAATGAACGAATTCCTATACCCCACAAATAACCCCGAGATGCATGTTAAATAAAAGGACACATTCTACTCATGTAAAAATACGCTGGTTCCCAGACCGTCCGAGGGCCGGATTTAGAAGGTGATTGGGCTGGATCCTGCCCCCGGGCCTTAGTTTGCCTACCCATGATATAGACTTTTAAAGCTGCCCACCCTGTAGCTCAAGACCGCCACCCCCCCAAAAAAATCATACATACATCACAGGGCGGCAGTCTACAGCAGAAAATCTGTCAGGATACTTCATAATGGTCAATCATTGCTCAACCTGGTAAATGGTAAATACTTTAGTTCCTGAATAATAATAATAATAATAATAATAATAATAATTTATTATTTATACCCTGCCCATCTGGCTGGGTTTCCCCAGCCACTTTGGGCGGCTTCCAACAAAATATTAAAATACAACAATCTGTTAAACAGGCCCTTCCATCAGATGTCAAGGCAATAATCAACTACCTTACTTTTAAAAGACATGTGAAGGCAGCCCTGTTTAATGTTTAATGTGGTATTGTGTTTTTAATATTCGGTTAGGAGCCGCCCAGAGTGGCTGAGGAAACCCAGCCAGATGGGCGGGGTATAAATAAATAATAATAATAATTATTACCAAATGCAAGGTGGTTCTTTTAATGAGATTCAGAAGCAATACAAACACAAGTGAGTGAGAAGATTAAAGATTTTATTCTAAACAGCAAGCATTATATACCTTACCAAGCAAGCTCTTCGGTATGCCACTGGGGAGCCCTCAAAAAGTGGCGAAGTGACCTCCCCAGGTGGTCTCAGGTTGCACAAGCTTCCGGCCATGAGTTCGTCCACAAGCTTCCTCAAAACCATCTGATTTACAGATTACAGTGGTACCTCTGGTGAAGAACTTAATTCGTTCCGGAGGTCCGTTCTTAACCTGAAACTGTTCTTAACCTGAAGCACCACTTTAGCTAATGGGGCCTCCCGCTGTTGCCACGCTGCCGGAGCACAGTTTCTGTTCTCATCCTGAAGCAAAGTTCTTAACCTGAGGTACTATTTATGGGTTACTGGAGTCTGTAACCTAAAGCGTATGTAACCCAAGGTACCACTGTATTGATAGCTAGCCTATATGGTTTGCCCAACTGCCTACGGCAGATTATTCACCAGCCAGCCCTCTCTGCACATCCCTCCAAACAATGTCTAACATCAGAGAAGGTCAGAAGGTACCCTGCATTATCACTTCTTCCTTCCACCAGATTATACATTAAAGCAGGGGTCAGCAACCTTTTTCAGCAGGGGGCCGGTTCCACCGTCTCTCAGACCTTGTGGTGGGCCGAACTATATTTTGGAAAAAAATATGAACGAATTCCTATGCCCCACAAATAACCCAGAGATGCATTTTAAATAAAAGGACACATTCTACTCATGGAAAAGCACGCTGATTCCTGGACCGTCCGCGGGCCAGATTTAGAAGGCGACTGGGCCAGATCTGGCCCCCGGGCCTTAGGTTGCCTACCCCTGCATTAAAGGCTGCTCTCAGCCATCAAAGAACTTTATGAAGAGATAGAGAAGGAAAGTAAACAGAAGCAGGAAGAGAAGACTAAGTTAGATCACTTATCTCCTTGAAGTACAAATGTTTTCCGGAAAAGGTTGCCCATTAATCCCCCTCTTTTTTGGGGGTGACCCTAAGAGTCACCTAGTCCAACCATCTGGCATTGCAGGAATCAGAGCTAAATAATCCCGGGCACATGGCCACACAACCCCAGTTTAAAAACATCCTTCCAAGGTAGTCCTTTCCACATTGAACCAATGGATTCAAATTACCAGACAGCAGGGTGGATTTGATTTCAATCATCTTTTTACAGAAAGACTCATTTTTGCTGGTAATAATCTTAATATTTACAACCAGATGCAGGTTTCGTTTTCGGAATAATAAATTTTCAGAGTACTTTTTACAGCTATATCAAAAATTACTGATTTGTTTATACTATTAGAAACACCTAGATAATTATGAGATTATTGTGAGGTTTAATAAGATAACTGTTTATATTTGGACAACTTTCCTGCTGTACTTTATTGGAAGTCATTCCCGTAATAACTTAGACTGATTTTTAGCACACATGAAAAACTTAAAACAAATCCTTATTTCCTGATGAATAGCCTTTGGACTATAATGTAACTGAAATAGAAAACTATCTTTAGAAAGATTTTTTTTATCCAAAAGCATTTTATTTTAAAAATCCAATTTAAATTTTAAAAAATCTGATTTTAATTTTTTTAAAAAAACTGATTTAAATAAAAAAAACTGCTTTTTTTTATTTTTTAAAAAAATCATTGATTTTTATCCACCCTGCTGGAAAGGAGATTCCGAGTAAACATTAGGAATAACTTTCTGATGGCAAGAGTCATTCAACAGGGGAATAAGCTCCCTTGGCTGCCCTTCATTGAAGGTTTTTAAATGGATGTTGGGAATCTGCCAGGGAATCTTCAGTTGTGATTCCTGCATTGCAGAGGTTTGGACTATATGGCCTTAGGGGTCCCTTCCAATCCTTCAGTAACTGCAATCATGATAATAATAATTGCTTTCAACTCCTTGGGCCCATGGAAACAGCAGATCCAGGCAGGATGCCATAGACTATGGGGACAAGTTCAATACTGCCCCAGGCCTGGAGGGGGGAGAGGGCCGTCTCCATAGGCTGACCTATCGCCAAATGACTGATATTTGTGGAATACATTTATCTACATTGTAATATTGCAAACAGGTCTGCTTAACATTTAACTTGGAAGGTACTGGTTCAATAAAGCCCAAAAGGAAGGTTTGGACAATTAATGATTGGGAGTTGCTGCGCCATTAAACTTCAGATAACAGATTTGGACAACATCCCGGATCGGAACGGTGTCGGAGGAAGCTGCGCTGATAAAAAGACAGTCGGAAAAATATATACTAACAAAGCTGTATTTGACGGATGAAAGTACATGATGTTTGACACGACTGAGAATAAAACTCAGGGACGGGAATTATAAAACGTCAAAACCGATGTGTGGAAAATATGGAATGATGAGGAGAGGCAGGACTGAGATGTGGAGATATGCTTCAGAGATCCAGACTGTGGGGAGCCCCGAAGAATTAATAATTATAATTTGGATTTTAATTTGTTTTTTTTTATTTTAGTTTTTTTTAATTTTAATAGGAGTATTGTGATTGGATATATTAATTGGATGTTTTTTATTGGAAAATCAATAAAAATGATTTTAAAAAGACTGCCCCAGGCGAAACCGGCAGTCGAAAATTCTTCCTGCCACGTAGGGGAGTTTGAGGCACAGGCTTCCTTGCAAAGGGACCTCCTCCACCCCTTGTCTTCTGCGCCCCTCCCCCCCCCCCAGCTTCAATGGATCAGCCACTGGCGGATTCCCAGCCCTCCTAGAAATGTCAAGGGAAAACAAGAATATAAATGGTGCCTTGGGGAGGGGACAGCCTTGTGGGCATGCAATGGAAGGTCTGTGCAGGCTCTGTGGCAGAGGGAGTTGCATCAGGGAAGGATGATGCGCGTGGTTTCTCCCTCCCGTGGATGCCCTCATGCTTATAAAGGCTCCCTCTGTTTCTGAAGCTCTCCCCACATGCCACGCATTTATACGGCTTCTCTCCCGTGTGGGTTCTTTTGTGAGCAGTGAGAACCTCGAGCCAACGGAAGCTCTTCCCGCACTCCACACAAGGATATGGTTTCTCCCCTGTGTGGATTCTCTGATGGGAGAGAAGTCTCGAGTGGCCCCGGAAGCTCTTCCCGCACTCGACGCACTGAAACGGCTTCTCCCCCGAGTGAACGCTTTTGTGAAAAGCGAGGCTCACGCTGTCGTTGAAGGCCTCTCCGCACTTCCGGCACTTATAGGACTTCTCAGCTACATGCGTTCTCTGATGTTGACAAAGGTTTCCTTTGGTCCGGAAGCTCTTTCCGCACTCCACACAAGGGTACGGCTTCTCCCCCGTGTGGATCCTCTGGTGTAAAGTCAGGCTTGACCTTTCGGCAAAGTTCTTTCCACACTCGGCGCATTTATGTGGCTTCTCTCCTGTGTGAGTCCTTCTGTGGTAAGCAAGGCTTGGTCTCTCGCGAAAGCTCTTTCCACATTCCACACACGCATACGGTTTCTCTCCAGTGTGAGTTCTCTGATGAGTGGTAAGGCCAGAGCTCATCCTGAAGCTCTTCCCACACTCCACGCATTTGAACGGCTTCTCCCCTGAGTGGATTCTTTTATGGAAAGTAAGGCTTGTGCTGTCACTGAAGTCCTTCCCGCATTCTGTACATATATATGGCTTCTCTCCTGTGTGGATTCGCTGATGTTTACAAAGGTTTCCTTTATTGCTGAAGCTCTTCCCGCAGTCGGTGCATTTATACGGCTTCTCCCCCGTGTGGATTCTCTGATGTTTACAAAGGTTTCCTTTCGTGCTGAAGCTCTTCCCGCAGTCCGCACATTTATATGGCTCCCCCGTGTGAGTTCTGTAGTGCGAAGTCAGCTTTGAACTAACTCTGAAGCACTTTCCACACTCAGCGCACTGATAGGGCTTTTCCCCCGTGTGAGTTCGGTAGTGTATCGTCAGGCTACCACTCTGAGTAAAACTCCTTCCACACTCCATACACTTATAGGGTTTCTCCCCTGTGTGGAGGAGCTGGTGCTTTTTAAGGTTCCCGCTATTGCTAAAGCCTTTTCCGCACTCCTTACATGTATACGGCTTTTCCCCTGTGTGGGTTCTGAAGTGTTTATTTAAGTCCGATTTAAACTTGAATATTTTCCCACATGCCGGGCACGTTCTCCTCCTCTTTCCTTTACAATCTCCTTGGGGGATGTGGAGTTTGTGGACATCTGCACCCTGAAAAGCAACGGATGTCTTCCTCTGGTTTTCCTTGTGACCTTTGCTTCCAAAGGTCTCCCCTCTTACTTCGGGCTTGATGGCTTCTGATGGAGGTACAGAATCCTCATTGTCCTGCCCACCTGTTTGGAGAGGGGCAGAAATCCTGTTAGTAGTGCAAGGCAGGAACTAAGGGTCCCAAAACGGATCAAAAGCAATTGGCTGCTTCCCTTTATTTCAACATCCCTATCATGACCCGCCGAGTCCAGTAACCATCAAGACACATAGGCTGCAGAGCCTTTGACTAAGGAGCCAGACCAGGTAGCTGACTCTGAACCAGGTGAGGAGAGGGTGGCGGCACTAAAACAGAGATTGGTGGGTAGGAGATCCCTGGATCAGAACCCACAACATGAGAGCCATAATTGGACAACCCTCTAATGTCCACTTTTGCTAGCAGCCAGGCTTGAAATAACGAGACGCTGGAAGAATTTGGAGGGTACATCTTTGACAAATGGGTACCATAAAGTACCATACGGTCGCATCTTACGTGAATACAACTTGCACAATTTCAACCCTATGTGGTTGGGGGAAGGCTGGTTGAAATTGTGCGAGTTAGACCCAAGCAAGATGCAGTGATTAGAAGTTCATCTTTGCCCTGTGTCTTTGCTAGACCAGGAAAATCTCCATGATTCTTCCCTTTGTTGAAAGCTTGCTTATTTTGTTAAATTTATACACTGCTTGATTGTTTGGGAGAAAAACCCTCAAAGCAGTTTACAAAGAGAAAGCCGAAGTACCCTAGGTCAATGGGATCACTGCTATCTATCTATAAGCTTGCTGACACTCTCAAAGAACTCTAACAGGATTGTGAGACAGGACTTTCCCTCGCAGAAGCCATGCTGGCCCTGCTTCCGCAAGGCTTGTTCTTCTACATGCTTCGCTCTTCTATCTTTAACAACGATTTCCACAACTAAGCAGCTACCTGATGATGTCTCCTCTGCCACCTCTTTTTTGGGGTTGTGTATAAGTTCATCTTCTCCTTCTTCCCACCAGGAAATGAAGTCTGGTTCTTCCAGGGGGAGAAAAAGACATGGTTGGTATGGAAATGCCTCCATATGTACTTGAATTTTATTTGATGTAGCTGACAACGTGAAAACCTGCATTACAAGTTTTGTTTTGCTTGTGGTCACTGTTGTGGAAAACCAGTAAAATACATTCTAAAAAATGACATGATTTGTTACTTTTGAGCACAAAGTATTCAGAAATCCCATATCAGAGAGTGGGGTGAGAGAACAGCCAAACATCTAGGAAGGGAATAAAGCAACTTTTCTTCCCCTTGATAATAATAATAATAATAATAATAATAATTTATTTATATCCCACCCATCTGACTGAGTTTCCCCAGCCACTCTGGGCGGCTCCCAATCAAGTGTTAAAAACAGTACAGCGTTACATATTAAAAACTTCCCTGAACAGGGCTGCCTTAAGATGTCTTCTGAATGTCAGGTAGTTGTTTATCTCTTTGACATCTGATGGGATGGCGTTCCACAGGGCAGGTGCCACTACCGAGAAGGCCCTCTGCCTGGTTCCCTGTAGCTTTGCTTCTCGCAATGAGGGAACCGCCAGAAGGCCCTCAGCACTGGACCTCAGTGTCCGGGCAGAACAATGGGGGTGGAGACGCTCCTTCAGGTATACAGGACCGAGGCCATTTAGGGCTTTAAAGGTCAGCACCAACACTTTGAATCGTGCTCGGAAACATACTGGGAGCCAATGCAGATCTCTCAGAACCGGTGTTATGTGGTCCCGGCGGCCACTCCCAGTCACCAGTCTAGCTGCCGCATTCTGGATTAATTGCAGTTTCTGGGTCACCTTCAAAGGTAGCCCCACGTAGAGCGCGTTGCAGTAGTCCAAGCGGGAGATAACTAGAGCATGCACCACTCTGGTGAGACAGTCTGCGGGCAGGTAGGGTCTCATCCTGCGTACCAGATGGAGCTGGTAGACAGCTGCCCTGGACACAGAATTAACCTGTTCCTCCATGGACAGCTGTGAGTCCAAAATGACTCCCAGGCTGCGCACCAGGTCCTTCAGGGGCACAGTTACCCCATGCAGGACCAGGGAATCCCCCACACCCACCCGCTCCCTGTCTCCCAAAAACAGTACTTCTGTCTTGTCAGGATTCAATCTCAATCTGTTAGCCGCCATCCATCCCCCAACCGCCTCCAGGCACTCACACAGGACCTTCACTGCCTTCATTGTTTGATTGTTTTGGCTGCCCTTTTCTGAACCTTTTCCAACTCTACAATATCCTTTTTGAGGTCAGGCGACCAGAACTGGGCACAGTGTTCCCAATGCAGCTGCATAATGGGTCTATATAATGGCACTGTGATATTGCCAGTTTTATTTTTGGTTGTTTTCCTAATGATCCCTAGCATGAAATCTGCCTTTCTCCCTGGCCTGCTGTCAAATTGAAGCACCCAGGCTGGAGATCGTAGAATCACAGAATCGTAGAGTTGGAAGGGGACCCCGAGGGTCATCTAGCCCAACCCCCTGCAATTCAGGAATATGCAGCTGTCCCGTACCAGGATCGAACCTGCAACCTTGGCATTATCAGCACTGCGCTCTAGCCAACTGAGCTATGATTAGGTGCCAAGTGAAATAGAGTAATAGGGGCAAAATCATCAGGATCATTGGGAACAGGAGATAACTTAGTCAGTTCCACAAAGGGCCCAATGACACACCTAAGGACTAACCTGCTAATGTCCTTTCCTCCTCTTCTTTGAGGTCTTGGATGAGCAGATATTCTCCTTCTCCCCAGTTGGAACCGAGCTCTGATTCTTTCAAGGAAAACAGGGAAGGCTGTTACTTTTGACTACTAAACTCTTCAGGTCTCCTCTAGGCAGCAGTTACTTGAAAGCCAAGCCAGACATTTAACTTTGGGGAAACAGCTGGGCAGGTGGAAGGGGAGGTTCGACCTGCAGGCCAGCTCTCCTCTTTAAAACAAGAACTGGGCTGAATCAAACCCAAGTCCTACCGATCTATTGCTTCTGAATACCTATGGGCTGCGGAATATTGAACGCAGCCATCTTCGCTCTCAGTCACATGTAACCTGTGGAACGTTTCAGTATGGGCATGGTTTTCAATTACCTTCATATCTTACGATTTTGTCAGTGCCCAGTTATCACAGACAATATACCAAAGCTGGATTAAATGTTTTCCCTATCACGGAGGTTTACCCTATATACCAGTCTTTGGACTGTAATAAAGAATGTGTGTGTTTGAATACCAGTTGTTGGAAACTGCAGGAAAGGGCCAGTGTGTTTTTCTGCTTGTGCTTGTGGCTTTTCTACAGGCATCTATTATTATTATTATTATTATTATTAAGCAGGACTCTTACTTTCTTATCCAGCACACATGGCCCAAACACCCATTTTCACTACACTGCAGGTTTAAGTGGCAAAAATAGCAGATTCACACTGACGATACCTATCAATCAAGAAGGGGCAGAAAATAATTCTTACCGAGAGAGGCCACTGCCTTGTGATTCTCCTCCATGACTTCCCTGTGCAGAGCTCTCTGGCCCGGATCCAGCAGTGCCCACTCCTCCTCTGTGAAACGCACAGCCACCTCCTCGAAGGTCACCGGATCCTGGGGGGAAAGAACACACTCCCTACTCAGGAGGTAATCTCTCCCACAGAGACCATTGCTCCCAGTTTGAAAGGGGAAAGGGTAACAAGGTGAGGTGCTGGTGGGCTTTATTTACTCATCTATTTAATAAATAATAATAATAATAAAATTTTATTAATATCCCGCCCTCCCCAGCTGAAGCCGGGCTCACAGAGGCTAACAACAATAAAAGTAACACAGCAGCATTTATTTGCAGCATTCAAGAGTTTGTTCTGTGATGCAGCAGCAAAAAAGACTAATGCAATGCTAGGCTGACTCAATGGAAGTATAGTGCCCATGGGGTATAGAGGGTGGCAACACGAGAACGGGGCCTTCTCGCAGTGGCTCCCCGTTTGTGGGATGCTCTCCCTAGGGAGTTTTGCCAGGCACCTTCATTATGCACCTTTTATCCTGTGATCAACCCTAATGTCTGCAGGCATTGGGCAGTATACAAATTGTTGTTGTTGTTGTTAACAACAACAGCAGCAACAACAACAACTTGTATAATTATTATTATTATTATTATTATTATTATTATTATTATTGCTATTATTAATTGTAATTGTAATAGTAATGGTAACAGTACCGCTCTATTCTGCCTCGGTCAGAATGGATGGAGGAGGATGCCCAAGATGATTCAGGGTCTGCAAACCAAGCCTTTTGAAGAAGGGTTGAGGAATTGGGTATGTTTGGGACAGAGAATAGGAGACTTGAGAGGAGAGATGACAGCCACCTTCCAATATCTCAAAGGCTGTCACAGGGAAGGTAGACTTAGCTCATTTTATTGGGAGCCACCCAGAGTGGCTGGAGAAACCCAGCCAGATGGGCGGGGTATAAATAATAAATTATTATTATTATCCTGCTCTGGAGGGTAGAACTCGAACCCATGGCTTCAAGCTACAAGAAAGGAGATTCTGACTGAACCTCAGGAAGAACCTTGTGATGGCAAGAGCCGTCCGACAGCGACTACCTTTGAAGATGGTGGGTTCCCCTTGGCTGGTAGCTTTTAAAGCAGAGTTTGGGTGGCCACCTGTCAGGGATGCTTTGGCCGAGATCCCTGCATTGCAAGGGGTTGGACTAGATGACCCCTGGTGCCCCTTTCACCTCTACAATCCTATGATTCTCTGAATGAGGAAGGTCTGCAGAACCTCTTTCTGTGTGACCTTGAGAACCTGCAATGTGCCATGGGAATGTAAGAAAGTAAAGAACTTCTGGGAAATGATATATAATGAGATGAAAAAGATGTTGAAATATACATTCTTAAAAAAAACCAGAAGCATTTTTACTTGGTATTATAGGCCAAGACATTAACAGACAAGATGTCAAACTGTTCTTATATGCAACAACAGCGGCAAGAATATTGTTAGCCCAGAAATGGAAGCAAGAAGAAATTCCGACGAAAGAGGAATGGCAGACGAAATTAATGGGCTACGCAGAATTGGACAAAATGACAGGAAGGATTCGAAACCTGGGGGACCAGAGATTTACAGAAGATTGGAAGAAGTATATGAATTATTTGAAGAGCAACTGTCATCAACAAATTACGCTAGTAGGACTACAAGACGTTTTGTAAGGAGAAATATACGAAGCGTTACCAAGTAGAAAAAGATAGAGATATTGGTTATGAGTTTGGAATGTAATAGGGAAAATAAGAAATGCATACTAAGAGATTAGACTGGAAAATTTTCAGACAGGGCTGATGGAAGTCAAAAAAACTGAATAAGATGTAAAAGCACCGGTATGTTTAATCACTGTTGAAAATGGTGTGCCTCTCTTCCCTCCTGCATCCCAGTTCTCCTTCCCTTACCTGAGGCGGCTGCACCTGAGGGTCTCCTCCCACTTCATCCCGAGAACCAAGAGACGGTCCCAGGGATTCCATGCTGCTGAAAACTTGGCCACCTCTGAGACTCTCAGGGCTGCCCTGTCATAAAAGATTTGGAAAAGCTTCAGAAAAGGGGACACCCAAGTCACAGAATGGTAGAGTTGGAAAGGTGCCCGATGATGCAATTTGGGGGCATTGGGATGGTGATTCTGTCCTTTCCTTCTTGGGGGGGGGGGGCGGACAGGGCGAGAGAGCACCCTCCCTCCCTCCTCTTCTGCCCTCCCCGTCCCAGCAAGGCTGCTTTCTCTGCACCAAGCCCCCCACCCACTCCCAGCTCCGTATTTGGGGGTGGGGCTTCTAACAGGATCGTGCAATAGAAATCGTGCAGTGGGTGTTTCTTCCTAAACCTTTGGGGGTGGGGTCTCCTCTGCACACAGACCTATGCACCTTTCTCTCCCCCCCCCCCAATCCAATGAATTTTACTTGGCGGTGGGCTGGACGAGGCTCCTAGGATGCAAAATCCACGAAGCTGTTGGGGGAGCGATTCTGAACCCGGGTTGCATGCAATGCATCAGAGCACCCCTCCCCTCTATAGGTTTCCGGGGAGGAATATGGAGAGGGGGGGCTCCCCCTTCTCCCCTCCCTGCACCCAAAGCAAATCCCTGCCCCTTCCCTCTTGCACCGTCCCGCACCTCTTTCTCAATCCGCTGTCCGCTCCGCATCTCAGCCTCCCTCCTTCTATCCGAGGGAGTTTGATCAAGCCTATTTGCCCCTCCCTGCCTTTCACTATTGTCTGCCTGTCTGTCTGTCTGCCCACCCCTTCCAACACCACCCCCACTTTGGTTACAACATCCTGCCTCTCTAGGAAACAGAGTCCAGTTCTTTACACAGCTGGAGGGCTGAGTGACAGATGAGCTCTCTCTTGCGCTTCGCTCTCTTAATACATTGCAAACTGCAATCAATATATTGCAAACTGCAGTTGATCAATTAATCTCTCTTATTGCTGCACTGAAGGGGTTTAGAGTAGATGGCTCTTGCGGTCCCTTCCAACTCTACCATTCTATAATCAGAGAATTGTAGATTTGGAATGGAATCTTTCGCCCAACATAGGACTTAGGGTTGCCATATGTCTGGAATTAGGCTAAAGGTAAAGTAAAGGGACCCCTGACCGTTAGGTACAGTTGCAGAGCAAGCTTAGACCACAGTGCTACCAGCATGGTGGAATTAGGCTAAAAGGTAAAGGGACCCTTGACCATTAGGTCCAGTCCCGGACGACTCTGGGGTTGCGGCGCTCATCTCGCTTTATTGGCCGAGGGAGCCGGCGTACAGCTTCCGGGTCATGTGGCCAGCATGACTAAGCCGCTTCTGGCGAACCAGAGCAATGCATGGAAACGCTGTTTACCTTCCCGCCGGAGTGGTACCTATTTATCTACTTGCACTTGGACATGCTTTCAAACTGCTAGGCTGGCAGGAACAGGGACCGAGCAACGGGAGCTCACCCCATCTTGGGGATTTGAACCGCTGACCTTCCAATTGGCAAGCCCTAGGCTCTGTGGTTTAACCCACAGCGCCACCTGTTCTGTTAGGCTGAAATAAATTGTAATAAAATAAAATGCCCTCCAACCATCCTACCCTGTCCTGTATTTTTGCCCGAACAAAGGAAAGCCAAGCAAGACATTTGGCACCAGCTTGGCGTCAGGAATTGCCTGGAAGGAGGCATGCAAGGCACCCTCTGACCATCTTAGGGGCTCCAGTCCGGATTTGTGTAATGTTTACTCCTTAGCCTTTTCTTCCCCCTTAGAGTCATGCAGGCAACTGCATGGTGTTGGGGGTTGCGCTTTTGGCGACTGTTTACTTACTTTCTGCTGGGATCCTTCCTGAAAGTTTTGGCAATGGTTTTTGAAATGCTGTTGATTTGTGCTTTTCGCATGTTGGTGGTGGCGGTGGGAATGGGTTGATGATTTTTAGGAACTGTTCAGATAACTGTGCATGTGTGTTTGAAAGCTGCTGTGTGCTGCTGCAGCAGCACAAGAACGAGCAAGGCCTTTGCATCCTGTCAGAAACTCATCATAGTTGAACAGCCCAATGTGACTGACTGGGTAAGCTGCTCCGGGTTGCAGAACTATGGCTAGGGAGGGGTCCCCAAACTAAGGCCCGGGGGGCCGGATAAGGCCCAAAGGACTCGTTTATCCGGCCTGCGGTGACCCCCGCCACCCGCTGCCACCGCCCACTTTTACCGGCGCTGCGCTGCGCCGCTGCTGACTTCCAGGTCAGAGGAGAACCGAAAATAGCTTGTGCACATGCGCAAGTGTTATTTGCACATGCACAAGTGTTATTTCCGGTGCACATCCGGGTTGGAGGAGGCCCGTACATGTGTGCACAAGCTATTTCTGGTGCTCCTCCAACCCGGAAGTGCGCCGGAGATAGGGTGTGCGCACGCCTATGAGCACACAATCCCCCACCCTCTGGCCCGCCGCACGATCAGCGCTGGAGACACCGGCCCAAGGCACGGTAAGTTTGCTGACCCCTGGGCTAGGGAGTGTTCGCCAAGGAGAAAGACGAAGGCCTGAAGAGGTGGACTGGGATTTGCTTGAAGCTGTTACCGTACTAGCTTGGGTTAAGAAATATCACATTAGTGGAATTGAGGGATAGGGCCATTTTACGGAGGTCCCCACAGCTTCGGAAATCCTTTCCCACTGAACTCTGCCAACCACCCAAACGTGCTGGTCTTCAAATGGACCTCAATCCATTTAAATATATATATATATATATTTTAAAAATTAGTTTTCCAATAATCAAAGTGCCAATCAACTTCCAATTAATACATTTTAATTAAAGTGGCTCCCTGCATGGTGGTTTGGGTGCATTTCCGATCTTATATCACTGCGTTCCATGACCTTCATTAATGTCAGTTACATTTCAGTTATAATAACAATCCCTCAGTCAACAGCTACATAATTAATTATTTCCATTCATGATGTTACATTATATAAATTTATAAAGCTTCAAGTGAGGAACTCAAACTATTATCTTTATTCTGCTATGCGTGTGAAAACTGATGTCCATGGAGATTCCTTCTCTCCATATATGATATTGTCCCTTTCACTTTCCAGATGTTGTTTTCTCCCATCGTGGCTTTGGGCAGAACTGAATCTCGAAGTTTCTCAGAGGCCTTATCGCTCCATCCCTTGCTTCGATGTCTCGGAACAGGTGACAGTCTGCTAGAAGCCATTCTGTCTCACTGGTAAAACATGTCGCAGATCTTCGCCATTTCCCCCTCAGTCTTGGAAAAGGTGGACAGTTTTCGAACGTGCTGAAGATTTAATACAGTGGTACCTCTGGATGCGAACGGGATCCAAATCACATTCTCCATTCCAAATCACAGAATCTCTGCAGCGTTCTTATCACAGCCGCCATATTCTTTTCCTTCCAGCAAGAGATTTGTGGCCCAATTAAATTTTATCTTAGAGTACCTTCCGTCAGTAGAACAGACAAATATAAGATTCCATGATTCTAATACGATTTTTATTTTAACCTGTATGAATGCTCCTCCCCATGTGAGTTCGCTGGTGCGAGGTAAGGGTGTTCATGTGGCTGAATCTCGTTCCGCACACCAAGCATTTGTACGGCTTTTCTCCGGTATGGATCCGGTAGTGCCTCGTGAGGCTTGCAGTAACGCTGAAGCTCTTTCCACACTCGGAGCACCGATATGGCTTCTCGCCCGTGTGGATTCTCTGGTGTCTTGTGCGGGTTGTGCTCTCGGCGAAGCTCCTTCCGCATTCCAAGCACGTGTACGGCTTCTCCCCAGTGTGGATTCTCTGGTGCGACGTCAAGCTTATGTTCGTAGTGAAGCTCTTGCCGCACTCGGAGCATCGGTAGGGCTTCTCGCCGGTGTGGGTCCTCTGATGGGAGATCAGGTTCGTTCGTTGGCTGAAGCGCTTTCCGCACTCCGAGCACGTGTACGGCTTCTCCCCGGTATGGATCCTGTAGTGCCTTCTCAGGGTTGTGCTCAGAGTGAAGCTCTTGCCACACTCCGCACACACATATGGTTTCTCCCTCGTGTGGATCCTGTGGTGTCTCACTAGGCTTGTGCTCTCGGTGAAACTCTTCCCACACTCGGCACATCTATACAGTTTCTCCCCTGTGTGGATTCTCTGATGTGCTCTAATGCCCGCTTTGCCAGTTGCGCCATCTTCACGTAGCGGAATATTATTCCTTTTGCTTGCTTGGCAACGCTCTTCATGCACTCGGATTTCTGAGCAGTCACAGCTCTGGAAATCAACAAGCTTCCTCTTTGTTTCAGTTTTCCTGCTCTGCTGCTCACACGCTTCTCTGTTTCCTCTCCCACCCCCTGGAGGAACAGAAAGAGAAAACTGGTAAGAAATGGATCTTTCAAATCAGGAAAGAAACCCTACTAACTGTGGTATTCATTAAACAGTAAGGTGTTGGTTTTCAAGAAGCTTTTACTGTTTAAAGTGGTACAATACTTCACGTAAACAGTGGCGGAGCTTCATGCTCCAGCACTGGGGGGCGGAAAGCAGGTGGGAGCAGGGCTGATGCGTGTCCCGGGGGTGTGGCATGCCACCCACGGGGCGTGGTGCGCCGCCTGTGGGGCGTGGCACCCAGCATAGGCGGGGAGGCAGCCGCGATGGCACCCCACCAGGATCACGCTGCCGGGGGCACTACGCTCCCCCCGCACTCCTCTTCCTCCGCCCGTGCTTGTAGTGTAAAGTGCAGACGGGCCCTCACTCCGTACAGTGGTACCTTGGTTCTCAAATGCCTTGGTACTCAAACAACTTGGAACCCAAACACTGCAAACCCAGAAATAAGTGTTCCTGTTTGCGAACTTTCTTCGGAAGCCGAACGTGCTCCTTTTTGAGTGTTACGCTGAGGTCTGTCTGTTTTTGCTATTTATTTTGCGTTTTTGTTTTTGTGGCTCTTTTGTTTTTGTGACTGTGTGGAACCCAGTTCAGCTACTGATTGACTGATTGTGTGACTGCAATACATTGTTTATTGCTTTTATTTTATGGAACAATGGTCTCGTTAGATAGTAAAATTCATGTTAAATTGCTGTTTTAGGGGTTGTTTTAAAAAGTCTGGAACAGATTAATCCATTTTGCATTACTTTCTATGGGAAAGCGTGCCTTGGTTTTGGAACACTTTGGTTTTGGAACAGACTTCCAGAACGGATTAAGTTTGAGAACCAAGGTACCACTGTATTAGCAACTAAGCTTACAGTCTAGGCCATAAGATGTGCAGAAGGCAAAGAGGGTTGCTTACTCAAGGAGACCAGATTCCCATAATTCTCCTCCATGACCTCCCTATGCAGACATTTTTGGTCTGGATCCAGCAGAACCCACTCCTCCTCTGTGAAATCCACGGCCACTTCTTCAAATGTCACCACACCCTGAAAGGAGAGAAGGAAAATATTTTCTTCCCATGGGCAATGTAAAGAATCCAGCAATGAAGTTAAAAAAGGTGGAGGTACCTAAAATTTCCCCTGTAAGATCTAAGGTGCATTCAAAAACTTCCAGGTAGACAGTCTCTGAAAGCATCACAAAGGATGCCCAGTCTTTGCTGCCACCCCCCTCGGCCAATCTCTGCCATCGGTCAGGGATTATTTGGCTGTGATTCCTGCACTGCATGGGTTTGGACTTTCTATGAATGTGTCCCTGAAAGCAATTCTTCTCGTACCTGATCCATGGACTGCACATCAACTGCTTTAGCTCTATCCCAAAGAGGGGAAGAACCAGAATGAGGCTCCAAGATCATTTCACCACCTGAGAGGAAGAAAAAAAAAGCATGCAGGTTCTGCAGACATCTGATCCCGTTAGCTGCCTGGGCTCATTCAAGAAGTTGCCAAGAAGTTGATAAGGCTCATTACTGAGTTATTTGAAGTTCGACAGCTTGCTCCCCCTCCCAGGCTGAGAGAAAGATGGGGAAAAGTGGAAACTTATTGGGACAGTGTGACTTTTGTAGCTGTAAAACAATGGAGATTTTCTGAAGCAGCAATGGGACACCCAAGGCATGCAGGAGAACAACAACAATTGACAAAAGATAGACATAATAAATTACAAGGATGGAAGAAATATTACAGGCACACAGGAAGGAGGGAGTCTGAATGCTTCATCTGTAGGTGCAGAAATTATTCAATGCGTCAGTACGAATGGAAGTCGTTAAAACTGCAGGTGCGATATAAGGGGTTGGTACGCTGTGGGTTAAACCACAGAGCCTAGGACTTGCCGATCAGAAGGTCGGCGGTTCGAATCCCCGCAATGGGGTGAGCTCCCCTTGCTCGGTCCCTGCTCCTGCCAACCTAGCAGTTCGAAAGCACGTCCTAGTGCAAGTAGATAAATAGGTACCGCTCCGGCGGGAAGGTAAACGGCGTTTCCGTGCGCTGCTCTGGTTCTCCAGAAGCAGCTTAGTCATGCTGGCCACATGACCCGGAAGCTGTACGCCGGCTCCCTCGGCCAATAAAGCGAGATGAGCGCCGCAACCCCAGAGTCAGTCATGACTGGACCTAATGGTCAGGGTTCCCTTTACCTTTACCTGGAATGGAGCATGAATGAAATTTATAAGACTTTGGAACACAGACAGAAAGGGAAACATCAAACCATTAATTCTAGCACGCAGAGGGCCACCTAAATTGTATAATTTGGCATCTCAATGATTGGTATTTTTAATTGTATTATAATTTGGCATTGTTATAATGAGGCTGTTATTGGATTGGATTGTTGTAAATGAGAACTAGTAAAAATTATTATCAAAAAAGCAACAAATGAAGAGGTGCTCTCATTTATCCATCCCGAATGTCTATCATAAGCTGGAAAAAAGGGAGGACCCGGCAGTGGCTAACACCGTCAAGGGACAGATCAGGCTGAAATTGATCCCTATTAATCCTTACCTGGGGGGGAGGCGTCTCCATCACCCTCTTCCACAACCCACCTGAGCCACGGCCTCTGTGTGGCATCCAGGGGAGCCTTCTTGGTCTTGGGGACCAGTTTTGACTCTCCCACCTCCTAAAACAGCAGGCAGAAAAAGGGAAAGAGGAGTGACGCAAAGAATGTGAGGTTTGCAAAGGGACGAGAAAGAAACTTTTACAAGTGCTGGGTATTTCAAGATTGCACTCGTGTCTTGTTACGTAAGACACGGATAACCATAGAATAGAATCATAGAATTGGAAGAGACCACAAGGGCCATCGAGTCCAACCCCCTGCCAAGAAGGAAACACCATCAGAGCACTCCTGACATATGGTTGTCAAGCCTCTGCTTAAAGACCTCCAAAGAAGGAGACTCCACCACACTCCTTGGCAGCAAATTCCACTGTCGAACAGCTCTTACTGTCAGGAAGTTCTTCCTAATGTTTAGGTGGAATCTTCTTTCTTGTAGTTTGGATCCATTGCTCCGTGTCCGCTTCTCTGGAGCAGCAGAAAACAACCTTTCTCCCTCCTCTATGTGACATCCTTTTATATATTTGAACATGGCTATCATATCACCCCTTAACCTCCTCTTCTCCAGGCTAAACATGCCCAGCTCCCTTAGCCGTTCCTCATAAGGCATCGTTACCAGGCCTTTGACCATTTTGGTTGCCCTCCAACCAGGTAGGGCCTGGGTGGTGGCAGCGAGAAATAAAGTGGTGGCACAGGGATCAATAGATGGTGAAATGTCCGGGGACCCTGTGTGATCGCCACAGTAAAGTGGAGACAGCGGCGGGATTCGATAAGCCTAAGAGCCTGTGAGGGGAAAGTAGTCTCAACAGCCCCCTCCATTTACAGCCCTATGGAGATATGGAGCTCAGCCCCTCCAGTCTTGAGGGGGTCGAGGAGACCTGGCGGCAAGTCAGTCTCCTGACCCAGCGCAGCCTGGTGGGATGTTGCCCTGGGCAATGCAGCGTCCTGAGCGGCCACACAGACCAGTGCAGCCTGGCAGGCAAATGTCTCATCGGGAGAAGGCCTGGGCAGCTTCCTCCTGACGCAGCAATCGTCACACATGCAATACGCATGCTGCTGTTGCTTCTCCGGGGCACCTGGTTAGCCATTGTCTAGGACTCGTTCGCCTCGTGTGGTCCTCTCCCTACCTGAGCAGTAGGTCTAGCAGCCATTTCCGACCCGCCGTAAAGAGATGTTTTCAAGAGCATCAGTGACGTCGTCTCGTTCTCTGTGAGATGGTGGTGGGAAGAAACATTGAAATTGTTGTGAAGCACCCTGAGATCTACAGGTGAAAGGTAGTATACAAATTTAATAATTTTTCAAAATTGTGCATTAATGAACTCTGCATAAGGCTGGATACAATACAGTGGTATCTTGGGTTACATACGCTTCAGGTTACAGACTCTGCTAGCCCAGAAATAGTACCTCGGGTTAAGAACTTTGCTTCAGGATGAGAACAGAAATCGTGCTCCAGGGGAGCGGCGGCAACAGGAGGCCCCATTAGCTAAAGTGGTGCTTCAGGTTAAGAAGAGTTTCAGGTTAAGAACAGACCTATATAATAATGTAAGCCTATATAATAGGCTTACATTAAGACACGCCTCTGGCTTTTGAATTTGTAAGTTTGTAATTCTTTTTCGGTTTTGGAATCAAGTGTTGCTGTTTTTTTTTCAAAAAAAGGTAAATTGGAAAAATAAATAAAATAAAATAAAATAAAATAAAATAAAATAAAACAAATAAAATAAAACAAAACAAATAAAATAAAATAAATAAACAGCTCATTACGTTCTAGGTGCCCACAAAAGGAGAGACCCAGTGGTCTTGGAGCTGTTCATGTAGGAATTTCTCCTGGGAACGTGTAGAATCGTAGAATTATAGAGCTGGAAGGGCCCCAGTCATCTAGTCCAACCCCCTTGCAATGAAGGAAACACAACTTCTCACAATTCCAACAACTTAGGAAGAAAGGAATCCTCTCTTACCCAGCAAAACGCCCCGACTTCGAATCTCCTGGGCGACGCCAACAGAGAGCAGCTTCTGACAGGGATTGTGTGGGGCGTTCTCCAACTTGGAGGAACCAGCGGCGACCCCCAGGAGTGGGCCTTGCACCTGAAACAGAAGCAAGGATCCCAAGGAGGCAACAGGTTAAGAGGAACAATCCATGCGGGGGGGGGGGGGGGGTCGTCAAGAAAGGAACCGAAAACGAAAACAGCCAGTATCACAATGCCATCATACAGCTCTACGGTATGATTGCATTTGGAATTCTGTGGATAGTTCTGGTCGCCTCGCCTAGGAAAGGGTACTGTTGAGTTGGAAGTGGTTCAGAAAAGGATCAAGATGATGGGCGCAACACTCCCCCCCATGGGGAAAGGTGGCAGATTCTAGAGCTTTTTAGTTTAGCAACAAGGTAAGTAAGGGGCAACATGGTATATGTTTATAAAATTATGCAATGGCATGGAGAAAATAATAATAATAATAAATTCCCTCCCCAGCCGAAGCCAGGCTCAGAGCGACTAACAACAGTAATAATAACACAGTTTACATAAAATCATAATCATTTAATTGAAACACATTCTAAAATCAATTCATTCTAAAATCAATTCAGAGTCAAGTTAATGGCAGCCATTGGGCTAGAGTTCGATGAGGATTACAAAAGGAAGGGGTCAGACTGCGCCTTGTCCAAAGGCCTGGTGGAACAGCTCTGTCTTGCAGGCCCTGCGGAAAGATGTCAAGTCCCGCAGGGCCCTGGTCTCTTGTGACAGAGCCTTCCACCAGATCGGGGCCACGGCCGAAAAGGCCCTGGCTCTGGTCGAGGCCAGCCTAACCTCCCTGTGGCCTGGGACCTCCAAGATATTTTTATTTGAAGACCGTAAGGTCCTCCGTGGGACATACCAGGAGAGGCGGTCCCGTAGGTACGAGGGTCCTAGGCCGTATAGGGCTTTAAAATGGGAAGGGAACGTTTATTTCTCCCTCTCTCATAACACTAGAAGTCGTGGACACTGCAGGAAGCTGAACGTTGGAAGATTCAGGACAGATGAAACGAAGGACTTTGTCACGCAGTATGAAGCTAAACTACGAAGGAGCATCTCCACCCCCATCGTTCAGCTGGGCATGTTGGAATATAATCTTCTTGCATGCATTTTCCAACTCTCCAAACTACTTGGATGAAAATACTCTCACCTGTTTCTCCTCTTCCTGCTTCTTCCCCTCCTCCTGGCTCAGGATGAAGCCTTCTGCCAGGGCCACCGCCTGCGAACTGGTCTCTGCTCTGCACTCCCTGACCCAGCTCTCCATCTCCGGGGAAGGACAGCCAGGAACTGCTCCAGGATCACCAGGTCCAGCATCTGGGCCTTGGTGAGCCTTTCCGGCTTCAGCCACTGGCGGCAGAGACTGTGGAGTCGGCTGCAAACCTCTCGGGGTCCCCTCGGCCTCCTGGTAGCAGAATTCCCTGAACCGCTGGCGCCAAAGGTCTGAGCTGGTATCTGCCTTATCCGGGATCTTCTGCACAGTCCCTTCCCAGCATCTCCCACTGCATCCAGACTGCATGGGGTGAGGGTCTTTTCCTGCTTGCTCTCCTGCCCGGCTTGGCACTTCCATTGTGGAACTGAAGGAAGAGGCAATGTCTCAATCCTACAAGGGCATTTTCTGCTGCCAATCTGAGCTTTCTCCTGCAGGAAAGAAAGCAAACCCCCCAAAGAATCAGGGAAGGCCACTGGCCAGGTGATTTTGCACCGTTCCCTTCCCCTAGAAGCATTTACCTATCGCTCTCTTCTCACCACAGGGACACGGGTGGCGCTCTGGTGTAAACCACAGAACCTAGGACTTGCCGATCAGAAGGTCGGCACTTTGAATCCCCGCAACAGGGTGAGCTCCTATTGCTCGGTCCCTGCTCCTGCCCACCTAGCAATTTGAAAGCATGTGCGCTGCTCTGGTTCGCCAGAAGCGGCTTAGTCATGCTGGCCACATGACCCAGAAGCTGTATGCTGGCTCCCTTGGCCAATAAAGCGAGATGAGCGCGGCAACCTAATGGTCAGAAGACATCTGAAGGCAACCCTGCTTAGGGAAGTTTTCAATGTTTGATGCTTTAACATGTTTTTAATATTCTGTTGGGAGCTGCCCAGAGTGGCTGGGGAAACCTGGCCAGTTGGGCGGGGTATGAATAAATCATCATCATCATCGCTTCATTCTAAGGTCCCGGGGCAGGTTACAACATTAAAGCACAATACTGAGAACAGTTTTAAAGCCAGGCCCCTGAGGTTAGACCATACCATGTCAAAACGCACGCAGGGTCCAGGAACTCTGTGCATTCACAGAGGAGCCACAGAATGACGGGAATTGCGTTCCCTAGGAAACCTACACCTGGGGAGTGGAGTTTGGATGGTGGTGGGATCTTCCTGCCCTCTGCCCTCTCCACAACCCCCCCCCCGTTCTCTGGGAGCATCAAGAGCCTTTCAGGGGCTTCTGTGGACCAGCTGCATGCAAAACTCCAGAACCATAAAATAAAAAAATATTTTAATACCAGTTGCATGGGGAGGGGAGGACAAACTGCTAGCTCCTGACCAGGACAGTCCTCCCGCCCCCCCCCCGACTGGCAGCGGCTCTCCCCCTGCCCCGCACATAGCTGGGCCTTTGCTCGGAGTCTTGCCCCCCTCCCCAAACTTTTAGAAGGGAACCTTATTGCGTTCTGTGCAGCCGTGGCTCGCCCCCACCCCAAATGCATGCATGCAATTGCGTGCGTACACCCACCCATGCATGGACCCCCCCATCACGTCTCCTTACCTCTCAGCAAAAACCTCCTCCCTCCACCGTCCCAAAATTGGAGGAGGAAGTGGCTCCCCGACCCGCAGACAGGGGCCTCTCTAGGAATGCAAAACTAGCCAGTCTCTCTCTGTCTTTCTGCATATTTTTTTTTTAATGGCCACCAGGAGTCGTCGTGGGGATTGGAGAGGTTTCGGGGAAGGTGGGGCTTTGCATTGCATTGCAACCCTCCCTCTTCAAGACAGGCTGCCTCCTCCACAGGGTTGTTATTTTCGCCTTTACGCACCGTTATATTTCCGGGTTTTTGAATTCTGGTGCTGGAGGAAACTCTTGAGAGTCCCATGGACTGCAAGAAGATCAAACCTATCCATTCTGAAGGAAATCAGCCCTGAGTGCTCACTGGAAGGACAGATCCTGTAGCTGAGGTTCCAATACTTTGGCCACCTCATGAGAAGAGAAGACTCCCTGGAAAGATGGAGGGCACAAGGAGAAGGGGACGACAGAGGACGAGATGGTTGGACAGTGTTCTCGAAGCTACCAGCATGAGTTTGACCAAACTGCGGGAGGCAGCGGGAGACAGGAGAGCCTGGCGTGCTCTGGTCCAGGGGGTCACGAAGAGTCGGACACGACTAAATGAATAAACAACAACATGTTCCCGTGAGCCACGCAGAGGGGGAAATGTAGGTGCAAATGGCAAATGGCCTTCAATGCTCCTGTGCTTGGAGTGCTGTTCCGTTTGGGAACATGGATTCCCACCCCCAAAATCCAGAAGGGGGTCATAGAAAAACAAGCAAGATTTCTGGGTTGCCAGAGCCCGCCTTCTCATGCAGGGAAGCCCCTAACTCACTGAGGGTTGAGAACCATCGGCTACCCTCACCTGGTTTAGCCGGCCCATTTCCCAAGATGTGGCTGCTTCTGACCGTCTCTAGCTAGGAGCTGCAGGTGTGAGCCATAGGAGCCAACTCCCAGGGGACTTTGGCCCCCCAGTGAAATATTTGAGGGGGCCAGCCCTCCCAGCAAGCTAATGGGCTTTGCCATTCAAATGGTATGCACTGTGTCATGTGATCAATATTTTGTTCAAGTTGGCATCCCTGGAGAGAGAGCTGAGTGCTGGGTGGGGACCAGAAGGGGCATGATGTGCCCCTTGCCCATCAGATGTCAAGGAAATAAACAAAGACCTGGCTTTTAGAAGACATCTGAAGGCAGCCCTGTGGAGGGAAGTCTTAAATGTGTGATCCTTCATTATACTTTTGTTGGAAGCCACCCAGAGTGGCTGGGAAAACCCAGGCTGTTGGGATGGGTACAAATTTTATCATCATCATTATCATAATCATATTTTGGTTGCCCTTTTGTGAACGTTTTCCAACTCTCCTCTGCCCCATGGAAGGCAAGGTCAAATAGTTTCATGTCTCATCCACCCACACCCAATAACAATACAATTATTGTTATTCTTACTTATTTATACTCCGCCCATCTGGCTGGGTTTCACCCCAGCCACTCTGGGCGGCTCCCAAAGGTAAAGGTAAAGGACGCCTGACAGTTAAGTCCAGTCGCAAACTGTTGGGTGTAGTGAAGGGTTAACCTTCTGTGTCTCGAGGCTGAGAGGAGGCGCTTACAAGGGAAGTAAGCCAGGACGTGATGAAAGCAGCTTGGAATGCTGTGAGCTGAGTGAAAAGTGAAAGCAGCTTTGTTGCGCAGCTGCAAGCTGAGAGAGAGATGCAGAGCGAAATGCAGCTTGAATCAGATGGTGTATATGAACTGTAAATATGCTATTTTGAGCAAATAAAGTGATACTAGGAAAGAAGAAACGTGTGGGACTTTTTACTGCCCTTCCTACACGGACGCTGTGCAATTCTGCTAATTGCTTTACGACCTGCAGAGGAGTGCAGGGGAGCGTGCCGGACGCCAAGAATAAAGCAATAAATCTATCCTAACACAAACGACTCTGGGGTTGCGGCGCTCATCTCGCTTTACTGGCCGAAGGAGGCGGTGTTCGTCTGCAGACAGTTTTTACAGGTTATGTGGCCAGCATGACTAAGCCACTTCTGGCGAAACCAGAGCAGTGCACAGAAAAACACCATTTACCTTCCCGCCGGAGTGGTACCTATTTATCTACTTGCACTTTGACATGCTTTCGAACTGCTAGATTGGCAGGAGCAGGGACTGAGCAATGGGAGCTCACCCCACTGCAGGGATTCGAACCGCAGACCTTCCTATCGGCAAGCCCTAGGCTCATTTGTTTAGCAGCTCCCAACAGAATATTAAAAACACAATAAAACATCAAACATTAAAAACTTCCCTAAACAGGACTGCCTTCAGATGTCTTCCCAAAGTCAGATAGTTGCTTATCTCCTTGACATCTGATGGGAGGGCGTTCCACAGGGAGGGCGCCACCACCGAGAAGGCCCTCTGTCTGGTTCCCAGTAACCTCACTTCTCGCAGGGAGGGAACCGCCAGAAGGCACTCGGAGTTGGACCTCAGTGTCCAGGCTGAATGATGGGGGTGGAGACGCTCCTTCGGGTATACTGGAATGAGGCTGTTTAAGGCTTTAAAGTTCAGCACCAACACTTTGGATTGTGCTTGGAAACATCCTGGGAGCCAATGCAGATCTCTCAGGATCGGTGTTATATGGTCTCGGCAGCCGCTCCCAGTCACCAGTCCAGCTGCCGCATTCTGGATTAGTTGTAGTTTCCAAGTCACCTTCAAAGGTAGAGCGCATTGCAGTAGTCCAAACATGTCTCTCCCTTATGGGTCTCTACTGGCACAACAAGCACTGTGACCTTTGAATAGCTCGACTTCATTCCCAAAGGGACAGTCCTCCACTGTCTCCCAAGAGAGATGAATGCAGACCAGTAATAAACATGTTAGTTTTTGAATTGCCACAAGACTCCTTGTTATAGATGTATGAAGGTTATCTAGCCCGCGGTGAGGGATAACTGAGCACATTGGGCAAAGGCCAAAAAGATGTTATTGACACTCCCAACTCCCTTCAGCCTTTGTTACCAAAGTCGCTTTAAAAATGCAGACAGAGCCCAGAGAGGAATTCTGATTAACACTGTACTGAGTCAAACTGAGCAAAAACAGCATATCATTTGAGGAGAAAGAACAAGGGAAGTTTTGTCTTTTTTAGGTCAGGCCTTGTACATAGGAGGAAGACATTCAACTAAACACAGAAAGGGAAAACTGCCTCAGACTATACAGCCAGTGTCTCTGACTTGATATAAGATACAGCAGAATTGTAGCTAGGGTCAGAAAATGAATGTCATTCTTGATATCTGTTTCCCAAAGTGTTCATAATTAATAAATGCATATGACTCATACAAAAAGTTAATAACTACACAACCAATCAGAGAATGTGTTACCTCAGTGAAGATCATGCAATACTATCTGGTCTCTAAGCAGCAGCACCACCCCTCTTAGCTAATGTACTAACATTAGCAGAATTAACCCTTACGTGGCAAACTGTATGATCTCTGCTGCTGCACTGCCAATACGACCACTGAGCATGCTGGACTGGGGTGGGGAGGGAGATGTACTTCAGCAACGTCTTGGGGGACGGGACAGGACAAAGTTAAATTACAGAGAGCAAAGCGAACACAACATTGCTAACAAAATATTTGTAACATATCCAAGACAAATCACAGCCACCACAAATACTGCTCTACTTTACATAAGAAGAGAGAGAATTGGGAGGTCAGAATTCTATGGCAGAGCACATGTGTTGCGAACATAATCGTAGAGTTTGAGGTGTTGGGGTGGGGGCTTCGTAAGCTGTCTAAACCCAGCCTCCTTTCTTGAGGCAAGACATCTTGAGCCAGGGCACCCTCCAAAAATATTGGGTGAACTGGACTTTGCTGGCAGGCCTCAGGTCCAATCTTCCATGTCCTAGATAGCAGGGCTGGGTAATTCTCCAGAGCCGTTCCAAAGGAGACTATGAAAGGTGAGACTTTGGAGCTGTGAACCACGCTCCTACGCCCACAAAGGGGCATCATTGCAGACACCAGCCCCGTAGCCTTTGGCCTCCCAGCCTAACAACTCCATTGATTTCCAAGCATTTTGCCATCTGCCATCTGCTGTCCTTCAGACCAACTAAATCTGTGTATGTGGAGAAGCCAGCCTTAAATCTCTTAGCCACCAGCAGGCCTGCCCTTCTAGAAGTTGCCTACTCCATTTCTAATAATACCCTGTCCTGCGTTAGTAAGACCTACATCTCTTCTAGTGTGGCAGCAGCTACCCTTGGGAACTCCCTGCCTATTGATATGAGGCAGGACACTTCACTGTACACCGCCCAGAGTGACTAGGGAAACCCAGACAGATGGGCAGGATATAAATAAGACAATTATTATTATTATTACTCTTTTTGGTGCCTCCTAAAAATGTTTCTGTTTAGGCAAGTTTATAAAGCTGATGCGGGTTTTAATCTGTTTTTGGTCTATTGCTATTTTTTAGAAAGCTTAGAATCATAGCTGTCAATCGTCCCTTATTTGGCGGGAAAGTCCCTTATCCCAGCGCTGTGTCTCGCTGCTATCCCTTATTGATGATGTCCCTTAAATTTCCCGGGTTTCAAAGGAAGCAGCTCCTCTCCTTCCCTCCCTGCCAGCCAGGGAGGAGGGAGGCTCCAACTGTGGTGCTTGGCTGCGTTGCTCACCCAATAAGGAGTCTAAGAACGACTGGGGGGTGGAGCTTGCATGCCTTGTGCTGATCAAATCAGCCGCGTTGCCTGGGGACTTGCCTTTGCTCAGCGCTTCCCAGCGGAGAGGTGACGGTGGTTTTCCTTGCTGCATCCCCTTTGCCGGGTTGCTGCGCTGTGGGAACCACCGCTTGAGGCTTCGTTTGGCTGCTGGCTGGGCTTTCTGCCTTTGGCTCGGAGGGGCTCAGAAGTTGAACATACCTGTGCTCTGAAAATCCCTTATTTTGGCTGCTGGTCCCTTATTTTCAAATCTGTAAGCTGACAGCTATGCTTAGAATTATAGTTGTTAATTTTTCTTAAGTGATAATTTTAATGTTTTATCTTCTTTTTCTTAAAAAACAACAACAACACACAACTCCTAGGCTTTTTACAAAGCGATGTATAAATGGTACAAAAAAGAAAAGAAAAAGAAAACTACATGTCTAAGCTACATGTCCCCATTACAACCATGTGGAAGCGATTCCTGCAACTTGACCATGGTGTGGTTGGTGAAGAAGCTGCTTCACCTTTGTTGGCCTTGGGCTGACCCTCCAACCAGTCTCACTGGTGGTGTGCCCAGATCTTTGTGTTTTGAGAGTGAGGAATTCTCTCCATCCACAGTTAATAAATTCATAGAATCATAGTTTTTCTGCAGAGTTGGAAGGGATCCGAATGGTCATCTGTTCCAATCCCCTGCAATTCATAACATTCCATCCTGTTCTGGGGCAACCCAGTCCAATGGGCGGGATACAAATAATAAAGTTGTTGTTGTTGTTGTTGTTGTTGTTGACCTCTTCATACTGACCTGTCACAATATCCGTTGTTCTCTCAAAACCCTGCAGCCAAGCTCCTGGTTCCAGTCAAGCAAGAACCACTGTCATGCCATGACGTCACATTAAATGATTCATGGCATTGTAGAGAACGAGTTCCAATATCATAGCTAGAAAACAGTTAATTGCTGAAAGATACATTTCTCCCTCTCTTTCTGATTAAAGGCTACTTGTAAGTATTCATCTATCCCTCTGGTGGCTTGGCTAGAATATTTACTAGGAGGACAGATTTATTTGATAAAATGGACCGGGTGTAAAGCATAACAAAACAAAAGTCATTCAGATTTTTCTACATTTTCACCAAGCTTAGTTTTCTCCCTTCATGGATTCTCTCTTAAAACCAGAGAAGCTCCACTCTGCTTGTAATACATTGCCTCCGTGTGAATCACTGGCGAGGAAAGTCACCCTCATATCTTTCTCATGTGCCTTCCACATCCCAAAGATGTTTCTGTCCTCAGGATGCCCTCCCTTTGTGCACTCTCTGATGTCTAATAAGGTTTATCTTCTGGCTGAAACTCTTCCCGCACTCTGGGCATTCGTAGGGTTTCTCCCCCGTGTGGATTCTCTGATGGTAAGTGAAGTTGGTGAGTTGGCTGAAGCCTTTCCCACACTCGGCACATTTGTACGGCTTCTCTCCGGTGTGGATTCTCTGATGGGCACTAAGGCTTGAGCCGTCGCTGAACCTCTTCCCGCACTCCGAGCACCGATATGGTTTCTCTCCTGTATGTACCCTCCGATGCCTCGCAAGGTTTATCTTCTGGCTGAAGGTCTTCTCGCACTCAGAGCACTTGTACGGTTTCTCCCCTGTGTGGATTCTCCGATGTTCGTTAAGGTTTGAGCAATGGCTGAAGCTTTTCCCGCACTCGGGGCATTGGTGTGGTTTCCCTCTAGAATGAAGTCTCTGGTGGTATGCAAAGCTGGTGGTCTGGCTGAAGCTCTTCCCACACTCGGGGCATTTGTAAGGTTTCTCCCCTGTGTGGATTCTCTGATGGTCATTGAGGCTTGAGCTGTGGCTGAAGCTCTTGCCACACTCGGGGCATTTGCAGGGTTTCTCTTTCGCGTGTGCTCTTTGATGCCTGGTGAGATTTATCTTCTGACGGAAGCTATTCCCACATTCGGAGCATGTGTACGGTTTCTCCCCCGTGTGGATTCTCTGATGTATTTTCAGGGTTGTGCTCTGACTGAAGCTCTTCCCACACGCCGAGCACTCATGGGGTTTATCCCTCGTGTGGACTCTCTGATGTCGCGTAAGGTTCATCTTCTGGCTGAAGCTCTTCCCGCACTCAGAGCATTTAAACGGCTTCTCTCCCGTGTGGATCCGTTGGTGCCGAGTCAGGTTTGTGCTCCGGTTGAAGCTCTTCCCACACTCGGAGCATATCAAGAGCGTCTCCCCTTCCTGGATCATCTGATCTGTGCTAAAGATAGACAGCTTTGAACACAGAGTCTTTCCTTTTTCTCTTTTGTGATACACTTGTGGGAGTGGGATTTCTTGGGAACAGACAGAATTCATCTTCCCTGGTTGTTCTGATCCAGCTTTCCTTCTCCCTTGCCTTTCCTGCCCACCATCTGCAGGAATAAAGAAAAATAATCAGAGATAATCAGAGACTCAGACTGTCAAGTAGCTATTGGGCAATTTACACTACAGCTGTCTTTTTGTAAGGTGTTTCAGATTTTGCGTTTTGTGCCTCAAGATCATGGGTAGGCAAACTAAGGCTCGGGGGCTGGATCTGGCCCAATCGCCTTCTAAATCAGCCCTGCAGACGGTCCAGGAATCAGTGTGTTTTTACATGAGTAGAATGTGTGCTTTTATTTAAAATGAATCTCTGGGTTATTTGTGGGGCATTGGAATTTGTTCATTATTTTTCCAAAATATAGTCCGGCCCCCCACAACGTCTGAGGGACACTGGACCGGCCCCCTGCTGAAAAAGTTTGCTGACCCCTGCTCAAGATACTCCTGATGAGGCAATCAATAATAATGAAAAACTGCAAGGAAAGGGCCAAAACTGTCATACCTAATTTCTTTCAGGGCAGAAACTGGAAAGTGCTAGAAAGTGCTGGAAGATTCTGGAAGCTTCCAGCAGGTTAATTTCTGATACAAATATTGTTTTGACTATGTCAAGGTCATGCCGAGCCAGGAGAGATCAATTCCTATGCTCTCTCACACACACACTTTGCTTGTACATTGTAACGAAGGATTTTTTTTTTTTTTTGCCTCAGTAAAGTTTTCCCTTTTACTGTGGATCTTCTGACTCTGCGTGGTTCTTTTTGTTTACTGCAAGACACCTTGCAGTTCTTCCAGATTGAGAGAGGATGCAACGATGCCTCGCTGTTAAAAACAATTTTTTTAAACAACTCACAGAAATTAGGTGGGTCCTAAAAACACACGGGGTGCGGGTGGCGCTGTGGTTTAAACCACAGAGCCTAGGACTTGCCGATTAGAAGGTCGGTGGTTCGAATTCCTGTGATGGGGTGAGCTCCCATTGCTCGCTCCCTGCTCCTGCCAACCTAGCAGTTTGAAAGCACGTCAAAGTGCAAGTAGATACAGCGGCGTAGCGTGGGTTGTCAGCACCCGGGGCAAGGCAAGTAATTTGCGCCCCCAACCCCTAACCTGCCGCCGCTGCCAGCTTCTTCTTGCTGCTGCCTGGGCTGGTCTGGTGTGGTTCTCTCCCGCGCTCAGCACTGCGCTGGGCGGCCGCTGCACTGTCCCTCCCCCAGATAGTCCTCGCTCTCTCTCCGCACCGCACGCCTGGCACCCCCCCCTCCACAGTGGGCGGCGACCCAGCGGCTTGGATCGGATTCGCACAGCCAGCACTGCAGTGAGAGAGAGTGAGTGAGCCAGGTAGGGGCAGAGAGCTGCGAGTGCGAGCGCGCCCCCCCCAGATGTTGCGCCCGGTGCGGCCGGCCCCCCCTGCACCCCCCATGCTACGCCACTGAGTAGATAAATAGGTACCGCTCCGGCGGGAAGGTAAACGGTGTTTCCGTGTGCTGCTCTGGTTCGCCAGAAGCGGCTTAGTCATGCTGGCCACATGACCCGGAAGCTGTACGCCGGCTCCCTCGGCCAATAAAGCAAGATGAGCACTGCAACCCCAGAGTCGGCCACAACTGGACCTAATGGTCAGGGGTCCCCTTTACCTTTTAAAAACACACACCTCTAGTGTCAAAAGCCAAGGCAAAGAGGCCTTCTCTGGGAGCTGTATAATGAAGGTGCCTGACCCACCTTTGTGTGCAAGAAGTCCCACAGCTTAGGGGGCCACACCACCTTCGAGTGTGGAGGAACTACCAAGTGGGTCCCCTCTGGTGGTCTCAGCACCCAAGAGGGTCTTTAGGGAAGGACGTGGTCTCTCCTGTATTTGCAACCTGAATTGTTTAGGGCAGGCATGTCCAACAGGTAGATCATGATCTACCGGTAGATCACTGGATGCCTGTGGTAGATCACCAGTAGATCAGTGGCTCCCCCCAAAGAAGCTCAACAACTTTGGCTCCCCTAAAAAAGCTCAACATTTTAGCCCTGTACCCCCAAAAACTGTGCTTTCCCTCTTTCGTAAAAAAAATTCAACAAGTATGACCTGAACCCCTAAAGAAGGGATAGATCACTGCAAGTTTTAAACTCTGTGAGTAGATCGCAGTCAATTGGGAGTTGGCCACCCCTGGTTTAGGGCTTACAAACACTAACACAAGGACCTTCAACTAGACCCAGAAAAGAACTGGTCACGAATACAGCTGTTTCAAAACAGGGGTTGTATGAGCTCTGCAGGTAGGGTAAAGGACCCCTGGACAGCTGAGTCCAGTCGAGGCGACTATGGGGTTGCAGTGCTCCTCTCACTTCAGGCCAAGGGAGCCGGTATTTGTCCACAGAAAGCTTTCCGGGTCATGTGGCCAGCATGACTAAACCGCTTCTGGCGCAACAGGGCGCCGTGACGGAAACCAGAGTGCACGGAAATGCTGTTTACCTTCCCGCCACAGCGATACCTATTTATCTACTTGCGCTGGTGTGCTTTCAAACTGCTAGCTTGGCAGGAGCTGGGACAGAGCAACGGGAGCTCACCCCGTCGTGGACCTTCTGATCAGCAAGCCCAAGAGGCTCAGTGGTTTAGACCGCAGCGCCACCCGCTCCCCTAAGATCTGCGGGTAACCCCAGCCAGTAATCTGGCTGCTGCATTTGGGGCCCAGTGAAATCCCTGAGTCGTCTTCATTGCATTGCAATAATCCAATTGGGAAGTAATGGGGTACTGTGGTCAGCTGCGCAAGTATCTTAATTTAAAATAAAAATCGAGCATGCTGCTGTTGTTCTGCTCAAATAGTGCAATGAATGAAGCAGGAAAAGAGTGGCTGAAATCCCTCCTTTCTGTGTCTGTCTGCCAGGGAGAGCAGTGAGCCTTACACAGAGAGTTCAGAGTCCCATAATTCTCCTCCATGACTTCCTTGTGCAGAGCTCGTTGGCCTGGATCCAGCAGAGCCCACTCCTCCTCCGCAAAATGCACAGCCACCTCCTCAAAGGTCACCGGGCCCTGAAAGACAAAGGAAACAGGTTGTCCTACTGGATAACACAAGAATTCAGGGGGGGGAAAGACAGTAAAAGGTGGAGGAGAGGTTCTCCTGTAGGATCTGGAGGTTGGTCAGTGCTAGTCTAAAGTCTTCTGAACAGGCAGTTTTCAAGAGCATAAGAAGAATGTGCTGGATCAGGCCAATGGCCCATAAAGCCCAGCATCCTGATCTCGCAGTGGCCAACTAGGTGCCTCAAACAGTGGGGTAGGAGAGCTGAAAACAATGCCAAACTATTTCACATCTAGCAACCAATGTGCCCTTTTGGTTTCAGATGGGTAAAGGTAAAGGGACCCCTGACCATTAGGTTGCGGCGCTCATCTCGCTTTATTGGCCAAGGGAGCCAGCATACGGCTTCCGGGTCATGTGGCCAGCATGACTAAGCCGCTTCTGGGGAACCAGAGCAGCGCACGGAAACGCCGTTTACCTTCCCGCCGGAGCGGTACCTATTATCTACTTGCACTCTGACGTGCTTTCAAACTGCTAAGTCAGCAGGAGCAGGGACCAAGCAATGAGAGCTCACTCCGTCGTGGGGATTCGAACCGCCGACCTTATGATCGGCAAGTCCTAGGCTCTGTGGTTTAACCCACAGCGCCACCTGCGATGGGTAGACGAGTCTAAAAAGCCCAGGACACAAGTTTTCATGGCCCTCCAGTGGCTACAGTGGCGCTTTGTCCAGAAGTAATGTATTCAGCGTTAACTCTGGGAGAGTGTACTCGATTCTGACCCAACTTAGCCTCCTGGCATATATTGTGCTCATGTCTATGCGCAGTACAGTGGTGCCCCGCAAGACGAATGCCTCGCAAGACGAAAAACTTGCTAGACGAAAGAGTTTTCCGTTTTTTGAGTCGTTCTGCAAGACGAATTTCCCTATGGGCTTGCTTCGCAAGACGAAACGTCTTGCGAGTTCTTGCGAGTTTGTTTCCTTTTTCTTAAAGCCGCTAAGCCGTTAATAGTCGCTAAGCCGCTTAGCCGCTAATAGCCGTGCTTCGCAAGACGAAAAAACCGCAAGACGAAGAGACTTGCGGAACGGATTAATTTCGTCTTGCGAGGCACCACTGTACCTGGGAACGCAACCTCAGCATAAGTGGGGCGGTTGCCTGTAAATGGAATTAAACAAACAAATCTCTGTAATGATGACCTGATCCGGTGGAGAGTGTGCCACTTCCATTTCCACTCGGGCAGGAAGAGAATGAAGTCCTTTTGCCATCCCAACACCTGGGGAAGAGAAAGGATGTGAGGATGCGGCGCTTGTCCTTTTCTTCTAGAAAATACATAAATTTGGCACTTCAGTTTGTGGGCTGAAGTAAAATCTGTCGCCACATTTGCTTTGGGCCTAGTTCAAGATGGCTGCTTTAGATTTCGGGCCTTGCACCTCCAGGCCTCTGGAATCAGTAGCTAGCCAAAATCAGGCCCCCAGCATCATGGGGCTGGATCCAAAATGCTGATCCTACTTAGATGAAGGAAATGAACGCATCTGAGTTGAGCCACATTTACAATATACGTTGAGAGCGGCATTACACAGTTTTAAATAGCTTCCTGCAAAGGGTTCTGGGAACTGTACCTGAAGGGTGCTGTGAGTTGTTAGGACGCTCTCACGGCACTACAATTCCCGGAGTACCCTGTGTAGACGGATGGAACCACTCTGGGAATCATAGCTCTGTGACGGGAAGGGGGTGTCTCCGAACCAATCTCAGCACCGTACTGAACTACAGTTCCCATAATTCTTTGAGGGAAGCCATGACTGTGCAAAGTGGTATCATAGCACTTTAAATGTTAGGATGTGAATGTGCCCTTAGGTGGGTCCATGAACTCCAATGGGTCTACTCTGAGTAGACCCAATACAGGTCCATGGTGTTGAGG